GACTTTGGGAGAAACTTCTGACAGCACGCTGCAAATAGAAGGCCCCGCCGCACATGAAGAGCAGCTCAGCTCCTAACAAAACACCAAGTTTAAAGAGGCCCCTGGCCTTTTTTCCTCCTCCCACTATTCCCTCCCTTCTTTCTTCTTTGCTTTTCTTTTTTTTTTATCCTTGCCCTCTGTTGCTTTTACTTCACCCTGGGGAAACATGCTCGCCTTATCTGCGCAGGAGGACCACCCAGGAAAGATGACTAAGGCATCGTTGTGCCTGTGTGACGCCGCGTGTATGTTTGTGTGCGTACGACGCAGTAACTGCGCACTCATTTGACTGCAGAGTGTAGCGCTCACATTTTTAGAACTTTTGCTGTTAATATTAATGCATGCCTATACCTGTATGGATCGCTCTGAGCGGTATGTTTGTTGGTGCTTGTGTGCGCGTGTGCCTCGCTAATCCTTTGAGCCAAAGTTTGGAATGAAAGGCAGAGGCACTTTGCTGATGGAGAGGTGAGAGAGACCTCTAAGCCCCCAACCGATGTACCGTGCGCCAGAAGTAGAACCGCTGCCCCTATCTCTTCACTCCGGCCACGTGTTGTTGTTTTTTTTCCTCCTTCACGTCCCTCCTCCTCTTCGGTATCTTGCTGTTTCTCATTTTTCACCTTTCTGAACTTTCTCCCCTCTTGCACTCTTCTGGATGTGGTCACATTTCTCTTGCTGTCTTCTCAAGCTTTTCCTTTGCAATTTGCTTTTCTCACTTTCTTTTTTACACCTTTCAGTTTCAGGCTTCCTTCGTTCATACCCAACATGTCTTCCTAAGGAAATCAGACCCCCCTCCTCCTCCCTTACACCCCCACCCCCTCTTCCTACCCTGTTTTCAATGATCCCAGTCAGTCTGCATGACTGATACAGACCATATCACCCTCAGCATCTGGAGACATTTTTGCTGAATATTATACACATGGTCATTCATGTACTAAAGAAAAGAACTGTGTGCGTATGTTGACTACTTGTGTGTATGCAGTACATGTTATATGTACAGTACAGAGTTACAACAGTGGAAGTTAGACTGAGAAAATGAAGAATCAATAATGAAGCACCAGTTGGAGGTTTTGTGTCTGAACAAGTGCCCTCATTGATTAAAGTCAAGGTCAGACAGACCATGCACATCAGCTTCAGCACAGTATCTGTTGCTAATTCGCTTAATATGACCATTGTGTCTGACGGCAATAATGACTGAGTATCTGCAGCTCTTTCTGACTCACAAAGCTGTACTGTTCATCAGCAGAAACATCCCATATGATTCTATTAATGAAGGAACCAGGGTTGAACTTTTGCACTTAGATTTGCTTTGAGTACATCAAACGTAGAACCCACAAGAAAGAGAAAAACACGTCACCAGTGAGGTCAGCCTCACTTCCCAGAAGATGAGGTCGAGAAATTTTGTGTCACATTGCGGGGAATCACTAGTTGGACAGGAAGAGATGGGTGGGGTGTGATCTGTTAAGGACGCTTATCTATATTGTCTGCAACGGTGCTGTTTTAAGAATAGTTGTAGGTGACATTAGGGTCACAGTGGGTAGGTTTTACAAGATGATAGCAGACGTTTGCAGCTTAATCATAGACTGTATATAAGAGATGGATGCAGCCAACTTGATGTAAGCCACTAGTTTTTGGTCTCTGTTGTTTGAAGCCTTCATGTTTGCATTTTGACGACAGCTATGCTACTTTCTTTGCAGCCAGAAGTGATTATATTTTAAAAGAAACGGTGCTGCTGTTACCGAGCCTGGTTAGTAAGACACAGTTAGATCCATATATATTTGGTAAGAGACAACTTTTTACCTCAATAAATTTTAAATTAAACAACTCTGATGCAGTGCAGACTTTCAGCTTTAATTCAGTGGGCTGAACAAAAAGATTGCATAAAAATCTGAGGGACTAAAGCGTTTTTTTAACATCGCTTCATTTCAGGGGCTCAAAAGTAATTGGACAGATTAAATACAGGAAAATAAAATGTTCATTTCTAATACTTGGTTAATACTCTATCCAAAGAACGTTTTTCCAGAACTGTGCTGGCTTTTTTAGATGTTGGGGTTTTGTTTTTTTTAGCCAAGTTCAATCTAGCCTTTCTATTCTTGGCACTTATGAGTGGCTTGCACCCTGCAGTGAACCCTCTGTATTTACCTTCATGCAGTCTTCTCTTTATAGTAGACTTGGATATTGATACGCCTACCTCCTGAGTTGTGTTGTTCACTTGGTGGGCTGTTGTGAAGGGGTTTCTCATGACCATAAAAATTATTCTCAATATCACTTCTTGGGACTGTTTGTTAGCATCACTAATAAAAGTGTATTTCTTAATATTGGGGCAAACACACTGGGGCATCAACCACTGTTGTCTTCTGTGGACCTCCAGGTGTTTTTGCGATGCTGACTTCACCAATGCTTTCTTTCTTCCTCAGGATGTACCAAACTGTAGATCTTTCCACTTCTGATATTGTAGTAATTTCTCAGATGGGTTTTATCTGTTTTCACAGCTTTAGGATGGCTTGTTTCACCTGCATGGAGAGCTTCGTTGACCACATGTTGTCTGTTCACATCAAAATCTTCCAAATGCAAGCACCACACCTGAAATCAACTCCAGGCCCTTTAGCTGCTTAATTAATAATGACATAACAAAGGAATTGGCCACACCTGCCCAGCCTTTGAGTCAAATGTCCAATTACCTTTCCCTTTAAAAAGAGAGTGACACATGTTAAAGAGCTGGAACTCCTAAACCATTCATCCAATTTGAAAGATGGGAGTCTACTTATTATATAACTATATTCGGAATATGTTTCAGTAAATGGGTATAAAAAAACAAAACTTGTGTCAGTGTCCAGATATGTACTTCAGACAGAAGTACCTTGTGAACACTTTGTGTTACTGTGGGACACCGGATATGCCTGTAAATCTCGTCGTCTCTCTTTTCTAAAACTGTTAGAAGTTTGTCTCCAGCACAAACAGAAACGAAGGTACAGTCACTAAAAGAGCACTTGTTAAATGGGCCCCCTGTTGGGATGATGGTTAAAAAAAGAAATAACGGGGTGGGGGGTGGTAGAGTTACTACGAGTTTACAACATTATAAAATGAAGGTATGTAGGATATAAACCTTGTTTTTAAAAAGAAACACATTTTATTTGTGATATCACGGAAGAGAAGTGCTTTACCCACAATCCAAAGTTGAAATGGTCACTGTTACCATGGGAAAGTATTTTTTAAGATTTTTTTTTCTACACTCTCCCAAATGTTTAATTCGTCTCAAGAGACCATCACCACAATAAGCTGTGCATCTCTCTCTGCCCCTCTCCTCCAAACCCACTCCCACCCAAAAATAAATACTAGTCCTTGCATGCCTTCTCTACACTACCACTACAGCTACTTAAAGCTCTTGTAATTCATGTCAACTCCACTGAAAATGCTTTTCTTAGTGTCACTGAGACTTTGATTCGTCAGTAAACAAAATGAAATGATGAAATCAAAGGCAAAGGCTTTCACAGAATGGAGATGTAGGCTACAGTGGGGTCGTGACTAGTTAAGAAATACCCTGATTAATAGGATAAGCACGCTGGAAATGGGCCGCCTTTCATGTTGAAGAGCTGAAACTGACCTCGACGTGCTCTAGAGTCATGTTGGCCGATTAATGTGTGCTGAGGGGGAAAAAATCCAACTACCAGAAGCCTAAATGAAGCCTAAATCACCTGCGTCAGTGCAGTTGAGGTTAGTTCACACTGTGTTTTAAATTAGTGAAAGAAAATGGTCATATATGAGATAAAATTGCCAAGAGGATCAGACACTGTGAAATCGGAGTGTATTCAGTATAAAAATCTAACTAACAAATCCGAGTCTGTGTTTCTTTCTTCCTTTTTACTTCGTGGTGTAGTTTCAAGAGAAGCTCTACCTAAAAGTTCACCCCGGCCCTAAAGCCTTGCAGTCTGCGCGTGATTTATGTCAGTGGACTGAATCGTAGATCAGGCGGTCATGCCTATCACCTGGACTACGTTTCCCTCGGCTCGGAGAATCAACAAGTCAACACCTGGCCTGCTCACTCAACTCCAGTGGGGGGAGACACTGTGGATATTGATGTTAGCCAGTGCTACACTCACACTTCTTGGAGGTGTGTGTGCATGCAAGTGTAAATGCACGCCCGTGCTTTCATCTTAAGATATTTGTGTGTGTGTGTGTGTGCACACGCACACTTGCACGTGTGTACATATCAGTCCCTGCTTTCCATGCAGGCTAATCAAAGATGAAGTGTCCACATGTGCACTCGGAACATCTGGTTCTGGGTCGTACGCAGGAACTGTGCCTTGCTATCACTTACGGGCAGAAAGGGGGGAAAACTGCTTTGTGCGTTTCTTTTTCTTTTTTTTTTATTCTTCTTTCTTGCCTGAGTCTTAGAAAGCAAAATAGATTGAATTCTTTATTGGTACCTTGTGGGGAAATTTGATCGGCACAGGTACTGGAATACATGCGAGAGGGCTCGTTATCCACTAAATGATACAGTGTATGTTTCTTAGTACTGCCAAGGAAAGGAATAAGAACTGCAGCTTTATAAAAGACTAGAAAGTTTGTTTGTTTCCATACTGGGGAAGTCTTTCTTTATGCCCTTGTCTAAAAATAAGTTTAGGGTTAATGAGGGCAGCTTCATAGTAATTACTGAGATTGCTTTGTTAATAGCCTTTTACCTCCCAAAAAGTAATCACAAGCTGTATCTCTCTTCATTGTCCTTCTGTCTATGTTTGTGTACTCTATATTCCTATTAGTTTTCTCCATCTACTTGTTTTTTTTAGCTCTGGTCTTGAGTCTGGTGTAGCCTCTTATTGAGATAAAGTGTGCATCTGTTTGCAATCTCAAATGTAACTGCAGATTGTCTATCAATTTGTGCCACGTAACACTTAACGCCACACCGAATTCGAAATGTTTTTCTCTTTGCGTCAGTCAGCTGACTGACTGTCTCTCCCTTCCCTCAGGCTCTGCAGGAAAAGGTGGAAAGTCTACAGAGACAGCTGCACTTGGCAGAGAAGAATCTGCTAAGCAAAGAGCTGGAGACTGAAGAGAAGGTGACGAGTTTCTCTTTTTCTCTCCATATCTCACCATCTCTTTCAAATGCTTCTGAGAAATGTACGAATGAGGCAAGACCGCCTTACCCAAACTGATTCTCTCGCCAACAGTATTGCTACATCCCTCTCGCTGCCCAGCATTACCTTTTTTAACCCTTTTTCATCAGAATTCCTTTTGGTTCGTGCAAGCACACAAGGCCTCATCTTTGGCCCCTCGTCGTCTTATGTCACCAGTCCCTCCCTCGCAATTTACCAACCTTACTTGATCCTCCAGGGGGCCACAAAAGGCAAACAAAATAGATTTCCCCCCTTCCTTTCCTGCCCTCCCCTCATCACTCTGCCATCTCTCGTTCTCCTGTTCACAACCAGAGATATGCCCCCTCGCACATTTCCCAAATTCCTTGAGATCTGGCTTCAAGAGCCAGCGCCTAGGGCCAGGAATGCCACCGCTGCCTGCGTTCAAAAGGGAAGCCTCTGTGTGCACACATGCCGACAAACACACACCCACAGCTCTCTAGAGCGCCCTGTAATCAGGCTCTGTTTTGACCTTGACACACACAGAGAAGAAAGCACTAATGACTACACTCACACAGGAGGTTGTTCTTTTGTACTGTGGTATGTACACCAAAGGCATTCGCTCTCCTGCGTCCCCCTCTGATCCACCCACTGACCCTTGTACACACTTCACACACCCATTGCGCACCTCAGTGTCCAGCCTTCGCAAATTTTCAGGAAGAGTCCAGAGGTTTTTAGGAGCCATTGATCACTGTGCCAGTCCCAGAAGCAGGGTCATATGGTTTCCTATGACTTAGGAGCTGCTGAATCAGGAATCTACCTGCTCCCATGTCAGGTGAGGGGTTGGGTTGAAATTTCTGAGTGTTTTCAGCATTAATAAGTATCTCTGTATATCATAAAGTATACTTAAAGTGAGTGTATAATTCCTCATTTGTTTTAGGGGTCCTCAGTGCACACCCTCACTGTGTGAAGTGTGCATCTTGTAGCTCTGAGGCTGCCCTCTCTTTGCACCAACTTTCTTCTGACTGGCTGAGGCTGCTGTGCTTGAGATGACCATATTAAGTACATCCACTGTTGCTGACATCACACAGATGCAGACTTGAAAAAAGCTGTCTGAAACCAAGTGTTTATACAACAGTCTGAATTTAGTCCATTGTAACAGTTGTATGACAGAAATTAATGGAACACAAACTAGTTCCCCTTAAAGGGTACAGCTGTTGTATTGCAACTTCCACAGTGTTCTCCTCTTTTGCAAAGCTTCATCACAGTTTTATTAGTCTTGCTAAATTTTTGATTGCGGTGCCACTAAGATACATGAATTATGATGCTGATTCCAAAAATGTTGCCTTCTGAAGCAAAAACAGCAACACTGCGACTGAAGCAAAGAACGGGTAAACACGACTAAAAATCTGTTTAGCATTTGGTTCCAATTTTAGGTGCTTGACAGTTCTTTTTTTCACAGCCACTAACACATTTTGCTAATCCAGCACAGATTGTTTTGCTGTAGCAAAGTTGGCAGCGCAGAGATCAACAGGAAGTGAGCCATCGTAGAAATAAAGCAATGTGTGCATGTGCCAGAAGAGCTAAGAACCCATTACAGGGTACACATTGCAGGGCAGCTGAGATAGGATCTGGAATGATGGGGTTTGAAGGTTTTTAATAAGGTACAGCAGCTAATGTTTCAGCACAGAGTATGACTTCATCAGAGGGAGAAGAGGAGGCTTTGGCAGTGTGGATGTTCAGAGTGCCTGCACCCAGCTAATAAGTGTCTCTCATAGCATGAACAGGTTTTACGTGTGTCTAGCCAATACCTTATTCCGAAAGAATGTATTATTATACATCCTGGGTTTGTGAGACATGTCTATCCACTGCTCTTTTTATGCTTGAATAATCACTCATGAAAGTTGTACGTTTCTTTTATCTTATCCACCAAAGTTTTGCTGCTTTTAGCGAAACTTGAGGGTAATTTTTTCCTCACTTTTCTGATATTGTACCCGTTCATACCTCAGCAATGTCCTGCTCCTGAATTGTTACACGTCACAACTGCTGATGTGAAGCAGACTTTGGTGTTGTTTCGGCTTGTTGTGACCCCTCTATCACAACAAGGCACAAGAGTGTGTTTCCGGTTCAATCTCTGCAGACAGTGGCGTGATGTACCTCAATAGTTAGAATAACTTTCAAGACCGTAGTGTTTTTTTGTTTGATTGTTTTTTTTAAGGCATAGGCAGCCTGTATTCCAAGGCTGAAGAGGAAAGATGCCCACAAGCAGAGGAAAAAGTGCACCTGGAAGACAGTGACCTGGGAAAACTGCCACATTAGCTCCTCTCGCAACTCGTTGATCAAATGCCAATTTTTGCTGATTTATTTCCCCAAAGAACTTCTGTTGACACCCTCTACAAACAAAAATCAGAGTTTTACAGAAAACAAAGTGCTGTGCTGAAGGAAAGACGTACAGATGGTTAACTGAAAATCAGTTGCTGTACACCATTCTTTACTTGACATATTTTACCTTAACCAACAAAAGCAGGTGCAGGTTTTGCACCTGCACATGTTACTGTATATGAATGTTGGTCCTAAGTGAGGCTAAGCAGGCTGAGAACCCTGAAAATAAGCTGACTGTGGTTCGTTGTCATTTGTTTACTACAGCTCTAATTACATAGATGCTCAGCTAATGTAATGAAACTGACATTATATCTTGTAATAACATTAGCTAGCTACTTGTCAACCATCCTAGCATTTCAGTCTGCGCGCTGTTTTAATAAAAGGATTTATTTTTAAGTATAAAAGGTCATTATTTCATGATTGCTCACCTTACTCAATTCAGTTGAATTCTGCTGATACTGGTACCAACTACTAAATTTCTAGTGTCTTGACCTCCCTATTTAGGACTCGAGCTAACTCATCTGGAGGTCTAATGGCCCAGGAGTCATTCCTCCTGCGCCATCTTTGAAGTCCACTGCCTGGTGTGCATGCATTGTTGGTGCATTGTAATGTAAATTCTCCGTGGACTTGCAGGCATGCAGACATTGACCCAGACCCTCAAAATGACAAAATGTACACTACCAAGCAAACTTATGGATAAATATGACCAAGAATGACTCCTGCCTCATATAATGCTCTTGGTCAAGAAAACGACATAGTTTGCATGCACCTATCAGGATTAATGTACATTATACATGTGTTAGAGATGCTGTGGACAGAGTCTGCGCATTGTTTTTTATTTGCCATTAAACCTAAAGGTATCCAGTCTCCACACACCAATAATATTGCCCTGGTTTATCTGCCAAGATGTGTCTTTGTAATCCGATCCCTCTCATGCTAAAACAGCTTTTCTGCCCAGACTTCACACAGATGTTGCTTGCCTTACACTAGCAGGGCCCTCGCAGGCTCCCCCACTCTAAAATGGCAGATCATCAGCTCGCTGTGTGGTTCAATTCTCCTTGAAGACAGGAGCAGAATATTGAAGACTACAGCTCTTTGTATAAATACATAATGATACAGTGGGCATGGCGAACTGTACAAGTTTTAGAGATGTATCCTTGTGCAACACGGGAGCTCGGTGTAATAAAAAATAAATCATGTCTCTAGTTGTTTTCAGTGTTGATGCAGACATAAAAATGCAGAGGAGCTGAACTTAAGTTCTGTAGGCTGAGCCTTTTTCCTGTGTGCTGTTTTTGTTGAGGCACATTACATCAGCAGCCACCAATCCATCCCATAGTTCTAACAACCTCACTAAGATCTGTAGCCAGTTCTAATCTCCTTCTGCCTTTCCTTTTTTTTTTTCCTTCTATTTTTTCTCCCTCATTTCTGTGAAGCGGTTTCCTTTTTTCCCTCTCGCAGCAAAGCGTTTCTGAATTCAAATCGCTCCTTGGTGAACTCACTGAGTGCCAACTCAGTGGATGTGGAGGCGCAAACTTTGTGAGTGGCGTCATTTTTGATGTACACCCTTGTTCCTGACAAGGTTTTTGTCACTCCGGAACAAGGGTGTATATCAAAAATGTCTTTCCAGCAGCTACCCCCACTCCTCTTCCACCTCCACCCCCCCAACCTGTCCCACGCAAGCCTGTGCACACACACATACACCCCAACTTCATTAGCATACATCAAGCCTCCCCAACAATGTGACAAACTTCATTTGAACGTTGAAAGTGTTGAGGGCTTGTTCCTTTCTGCTGGCAGCTGTCAAAAACCATGCCATGTGACGGTACCAAACGCAAGGGAAAGTCAAAACCACAATCTAAAGACTATATATAGATGAAATGTTGTCATTTTAAGATGACTGGGAGGGGAAAACGACTGCTGCTCCTCACAGTCTTCAAAACTAGAGAATCACGCTTCATCAAGAACAAACAAAATCATCTCTCAAAGAGCTTCTGAGATGAAACCAGATTTCTCTTTAGAAAGTCAGCGTCCCCTTTCATTGCTCAGAGAAAATAGTGGCGCACTTTTTTTCTCTCTGTGATTCCCTTCCTCTCTTTTCTTTCCTATTCACTTGCATCTGCAGTCCGTCAGTGACCAAAGAACCTCATGGAAGGTTTGATCAGCAGTATTGTTCAAAGGCATCAAACATCTGTCCTAATAAGTGAGGAGCCTTTTTTCTCAGATGCCGTCACGTCTCCTTCCACCTGTCAGAAAAATAAACATGCCTTTGCTGCAAAAATCATGTTGAAAGAAAAGTAAAATGTGTTTGCGTGAAGAAAAGGAGAGATGCGAGCAGAGGGACCTCGGATAGGGCAGGAAAATGCAAAGTCGAAGAAAAGGCGTCTCTTAGGAAACGAGTCAGACATCTGCGGAGAGTTAGATGCTTCTGTCTTGAATTTTAACTCCATTGTGAGACATGGTGGAGTCAGAAATTTGAATTGATATTATACCTATTCTTGTCTGCTTTATGCTGTAACTGCTGTCTGTTAGATGTGTTGTTATGAACAAAAAAAAAAAAAAGAGTCCTGCTTCCACCCACACATGTTGCATAGTAAACTGTGGCTAAGCTTTAGATCAGGGAAGGCAAATGTTGTGGTCTGCTACACTGTAGAAAGAGCAGAAATACACCCTCAGGTTAAAGGAGCCCTATATATATGCTTTTCCCTATGTACTCCTATGTACTCTCTTACAGTGGTGGATGCTTAAATTAAACATGGCCAAAGTTTGAAATAATGAGGTATGCACAAGCGAGCCAAAAGCTCAGGCTTCAGGCTGCTCTAAATTGTACACAAGTTTCTACTCTTGGATCCCTGTAATGTTAGTATAGACATCAGGCACACAGCAGCCCTGCCTCTCCCACCACCACCACTGCCATCACCTGCTATTCAAACGTTCTCTTTACGAGGGGCAGCCAATCAGAAATTAGATTTAAAGCTATGCAATTAACTTGCAATCTTATTGCCTATGAAATGGCAGCTTTGAAGATGGAGACCAGGTCTGCAATTATTCTCAGTCAGCTGCTGTCTTCAGAGCGACTTTAGTGCATCAAGACGGCAATAAAATCGAGTCCGTTAGATGGAGTCGCTCTGCTACCAGTTTGCAGTCAAATGAGATCAAGTTGGCAATTACTTGTAATCTGTTTGTATAAGACAAACTTGTCATCTACAGAAATTTAGTGTCCATCCAGAATCTCTTGGATCTGAAACATAAATTCAACAATTCCTCCACAGATAGTGACATAGTTAAGATTTAACTGCAGCACAACATAAGCACTTGGCAAACTTTGATTTTTATATAAGATCCAATACAACCAGCTGCCAGCCAGCTATGGTGAGTCTGTTATTGCAAAGAAAAGCGTCATAGACAGTGGACACTCATCGGTGCAGCATGTTAGCAATCTGCTTGTGTTTATAAATTAGATGGCAGTTATTTGCAAAGCCTTCACCAACCTGTCTAAGAGCGATTGTAGTGAGTCTGAGTCACATCACTATTGTTTGGAGGTCGGTTACCTCCTATCAGGCAACCTGTCCAATCGCTTTGCAATGAAAAAGTTGGTTGTGCAACACCCTCAACCTCTGGGGGACCGGTTAGTCACCGCAACTACTTGCAGCCAAAAAAAAGATCAATGCAATCAGCAGGAAAACGCCACTTTTCCTAATCACATGCAGGCTGCTTTTCTATTTTTACTCTTGTGTGACTGAGCTATAAAACATCTTGTTTCAGAGGATGAACTGAAGGGCTGCACAAAGGGCTCGGTGAAAGATAAACGTATTATTTTAACTGTGACTCATCCAAAGCTGCTCTAGGACAATCCAAGAATGACAAATATGCAGCTGGAAATTTGTATAACAGGTATAATTCATCTGGATTTGAGGTGTATTTTGTGTTTCTGTGTTCATGGAATATGTATGTGCTGTGCTGTTCCCATCATATGATTTTATGATGGGAACAGCAACAGAAAATTCAAGTAATATTTTCTCTCACAGCCACTCTTTCAGCGCCATAACCATGAAGTCGTTGGTGCGAATGTAAGCTGTATGACCTTACCGTGTCATATAATACATGAAATTTTCTAGTTTGTCGCCCTTACGACCGTATGTTTATCATCCAGCCGCCGTGAATGCGTTATTGCTGCCTTGCCGAATGTATGGGACAGAAAACGGAGACAGCATTGCCGCAAAGGAGCTTGTAATTTAGGCAAAGCGGATTTCTCGTTGCTGCGGTGACGGCACCATACATGAATCAAGAATGCAACACTGAGGAACTTGGCTTTTGAAGAATCTAAGACTTATATTCAGAGTGGTTGGAAAGGGATGTGTTTATTCAACCATTGTTTATTGCTTCGGTCTGAGGTAGTGAAGTGTGTTTTGTCTTGGCTTGCCGTTTTGTTATGACTACAGGAGCTGCTATAGATAGAGACAGACATTTTGAAAATCTGCACTCCTCTTCGCTTGAGCCCATTTTTAAAAAAAAAAAAAAAAAAATCCTGAACATTCAAATTAAAGCTTCCAAGTTTTGTTTTGTTGGGTTTTTTAGCCCTTGTTTTTTAAAGGCCTCTCTTTCAAATTATCCTTGACTTCATTCTCACACAGCGTGGACAAAAAAAGACATATTTTTGTAAACTGATGGATTCTCAGCCTGACGTTATTGGTCCAACACTTTCAAATGAATAGGGCAGACAGAGCCTGAAAAATTGGCAAAGTTGTGGCAGACTAATCTACAGCACACTGTGCCGAGACAAAGTGAGCTGCTTCATGTTGGGATCATTTATACTGAGGGTTGCTTTGAAGTGCTTCCCAATCCCTTTCATTGTGCCCAGGAAGATTAATTAGCCAAAGCCAGAACAATCAGTTAAATCCACAACAGGAAGATTATTTTAGGGAAACCAATCTTTTTTCTTTTTTTTTCCCCCCCTCCCCACCCACCCACCGCCCCCACCACCTCATTCACGCTCTCTTCACTTGAAAGACTGATGAGAGGTGGGGATTGTGGGGATATTCTTAACGCTAGTGGACTTTGGCTCTGTAAAACACATTATGGTCATTTAAAATGCTCAGACTCTCTCCCCTGGTTACACCTTGAAATATGTTGGAGAGGAAGGGGGGCAACTGTTGCTTTTCACGGGTCGAATTAATCCCCCGAGCTCTGTTAAACTATTCATCAAGCTCTGAATTAATTGATTCGGCGACTCTTCAAAAAATGCTGTAAATGTTTTTACAATACTGTTAAAGCGTGTATCTGCGTTTGTGTGTGTGTGCATGCGTGCGTGCGTGTGTGTCCATACATGTGTGTTTCTGGGTAAAAAGTGGGGGTTGCGCTAACCAAACCCTTTTCAACTTCTATAATCAGACTCTGGTTTAGTGGAGTGTAATTTAGCCCCAGACAGACTTCCTCCAGTCCTCCCCAGTGGAGATAGCTAGCTAGCTATTGAGCTGCTGCTGCGTTTGATGTGTCCTGCCCTCCACCATGGCCCTGTCCTTTTCCAAACCCAGCTGTCTTGAGCCCATAAGTGCTTTGTGTCAGATCTCGCTGTAGTCACTATCATCCAGTAGGGGGTGTTGCGCAGAGCGAGTAATGTCAGTCTGCGGACCCCCTGTGGAGATGTGAAGGAGCTGTGAAGAGCGAGGGAATACTCTGAGCCATGAATAAAGAGGGGATACCCACAGTGTGTGTGTGTGCGCGCCTCATCTAAGGGAGTTGTTGGTTTGGCCTGAAAATGCATACATGTGAGTGTGTCTGTGGAAAGAAAGAAATACTTATTCAGCAACAATACCACAATTGTTATCCAGTTGAGGCACACCGTCTCTGAGCGTCTCTGGGGCATCAGAGACAACAAGAGAGTGCATGATTACTATATATTACTTAATAAGTATTATTTGATTAATGTGGTGCCTTACTTTCTTGCTGACTATGCATCTTTCCAACCTCCGTCTTCTCAGGTAACCATGGTGCATAAGGAGTATGAGGAGAAGATCAAAGGTCTGATGCCGGTGGAGCTCAGGCAGGAGCTGGAGGACACAATCAGCTCACTGAAAGCTCAGGTGAGGTTTGATCTGATAGAGGCAAAGCCAGAGCAAGAAAGATGTGTTCAGTCTGTTGAACATCTCATTGAGAATCCATTCATTTTCTTCCATTAACAGCATTATAACTTATAAAGTCTTGAGCTGGGAAGTAGGTACAGCGATTTGTTAAGACATCTGCAAAAAATTAAATGGATATACAGTCTTTAGCTCTTTACCTCAGCTTTCAGTATGTGTCCATGTCTGTTTACTCTGGAGGAGGTTGTAAAACTTGGTGAAATGAGTTTGATAGTGTCCGATGAGTCAGTGAAGCTCACTTCAGCCTGATGACACTCATACTGAGCGATACTGAGGTCAGTAGTTAAGGATAGCTGCTGTTAGCTGGCATTAGTGAAAAACTTTGAAGTGGCTCTGACACTGTGGCAGGAAAAAAAAACGTAATGAGAAATGGGTACCATCCTTCATATATAACTCTATAGTTTTATATCTGAAGCGGTAGACACAAATTAAAATTTTCACTTGGCTGGTCTTTAGCCACATACATGAAACACCATTAGGCAAAGCGGCGATGTTCGTGTCGGCCACTGTATTCAAGCTGGCGGGGCGCCATGGTGGCTCCCGTGAGCCAACAGCTGCTCCTTTGCATTTTTATGGATTATTTTTAAGTTTATGAGAGTGCATCAGTTTGTTGGAAGGTGTAATTACACACTAATCTATATATGTTTATGAGTACAATATTCTTTATTTCTATTAAAGAAAACATGACTGTATCTGTTAGTAGTTTTTAGGAATAGATCTCCAGGCTTATTCAAGGGTATTCAAAGCTCTTCTTTGGATGTTGGCTGTCTTTCATATTCTTTGTCAAGATGATCCCCCACTGCTTCAATAATGTCGAGGTTTGGGCTCTGAGGATGGCAATCCATGACTGAGAGTGATGTTTCATTGTGTGTTTGTGGATTGGCATTGTATTTGAGATTATTGTCATCCTGAAAAATGATTTTTTTCTGCCACTCAGACACTTTCCAGATGGTACTGCTGGGTGGATTTAGTTTGCTGGGTGTAGATATACAGACAATGGATGTAAGCTGCAAACATGCCAGATTTGATCATATCTGCTGATTTACATCCTTAACCCCCAGGCAGGTCCCATGAAACTATACAGTATGGAAGTGATCGTATGCAGATCCACAACAAACCACACATAACAAAGACACATACAAACAATATACCATCCTCAGGTAGAAGTGATCACAGATCAGGTTGGACATAAGCCATTGCCTGAGATCTGGAGAGCATTCTCTTTATTTTAACTACTAAACTATTGCGGTGTTTACTTCCTTTTGTTGTTATTGCAGGATTTTGTGTGTTTTCACTTTCTTCTGTTATAAATCAATCAAAACTGAGGTAAAGCCCTCTGTATGAAACTAGATGTAGACTTATTTGTTTGAGTGAGACCTCTCTTCCGTGCAGTTTCGGCGTAGCACTCGATCATGGCCTCGGCATTCACTTCGGACCCTGCTGATCCTCTCTGCAAATGTTAATCTCTCATTGTCTTCCCCTCAGATCAAACAGTCAGCCTTTGCATAACCGCACTCGTACGTTTCTCCTCCGAGCCGTGTCCTTTGTCTCAGCATTTACATTGTAAATAATTTCGTTGGAATAATAATAATAACAGCGTGCAGTGCAGGTCTCTATAAAACGCTCTCATCATTAACCCCTGCCTTGTTCAAATAGCGCTTCCAAGATCCCGTTTCATTGGACAGACCGCAGCTCTGCGATCAGAAATGTTTATAAAATGCGATTCATGACCAGAGCGGCCTCTCCTCTCATTGACAGTGTCTTGGGTTTTGCACATTAAAGTGCATTATTTTATTACATAGTTTGAGAAAGAAAAGAAAAAAAAGGTGCAGAGAGTTTCCGTGTCTCTGGAGGCATCCAACCACATTTGGGTATGGTTTTGCATATACTTTCCCAGTGCGAAGTGCCAAATGAAATGCTAGAACTTGAACTGAGGTCTCCCCCACAGAAAGGAATGTACCCTCGGCTCCAGTACGGTAGTCCCAGAACAATGCGGATTCTTTTGGAGCTGTGATTATTCTGCCAGGCTCTAGATGCCGTGTAAATGTAGATGGAGTTTATTTTCACTTCAGCGAAGCACACTTCATAAATAAACCGGCACTTTGTAGCCAAACAAAAGAACGGTGCTGCCTCCTAACCTCGGCTAACCTGGGCCTGTAATCTTCCCAGCGTGCCTTAACCTCGCTGCCCTAATCTCCTGACCCCCGGCCCCCACTGTCGTGACCCCAGGAGTCAACAACCGAGCTTTTCTTCTAAAAAAGCACAACCGACCTAAATCAATCAAACCCTTCTCCACTTCCAATTCCTGTGTCCTGATGAACCAGTTCTTGCTTCCTTCATACTGAATATATTTGAACTCTTTACCCCTTGAAAGCCAACTAGGAGTAGCTTTTGATGCTCTTTTCTAACCTGAGTGGTTTCGGTCATGTTTCAGGCCTGATTATGGATATGATTGGATTTGCAATTAGAAGTTAGTGAAGGTGGTCTCTGCCTTTGCAGTTACGCTTGTAAAAACATAGAAAACTCTTCTAATGGTCACCAAACCACGTCTTTGTTTCGTTTTCGAAACTCGTCATAATGGTGGAAAGAGTTGAAGATTACCCCGTGCCGTTCTCTGTTTCAGGTTAACTTCCTTCAGATGAGAGCCTCTTTGCTACAGGAAGACCTGGATGCCTGTCGCAGCAGCAGGTGAGCATGTCGATCTGAAGTAGGCCAGAGCAGTAAAACTTTATGAGAAATGAGTAAAATGACAGAAAAGCTTCTGGTAATTCGTTCCCAAACTATTCTGTAATCATAATATATGAAGTTTTTGTGTTTACTGTGGACCGTTAAAAAAAAAGACTACAAATTAGTGGAAAACCAGGATTTTTTTTGTCATTTCATTGTTTCTCTTTACTTACAATTACCTTGGTGTAATATGAATGACCATAAATCAACAGAAAATGGTGTAAAATGTATGAAAATACAGTTAAAAAGTCCAAATCCGTGCATTGAGTCACATATTTTGAAGCTGTCCAGTGGGCCAGATTAGAGTCTTTGGCGGACCGATTCTAGCCCCATGGCCTTACGTTTGACATCCCCGGTTTTGAACCTACAGAAATGCATGTGTGTAGTACACATCATAATCAGTCTGCTGCCTTGCTTTAAAGGTGCAGATACGAGCTTTGTCTTTGACTAAGACAGCCTCCAGTCTGAAGGGCTTTAATTGCTTTCCCTGCATCCATCACACTGTAAGAGCCATTTATGTTTTTGCAACTATATACATGTGCAGCGATGACAGCGCCCTGTCAGACAATGCCGCAGCTCACGTCTGTGTGCGCAATGCTCCCAGGACTGTCACTCACGGCAGATCACAGGAAAACTGTTATTTCCCTGCACTCTGCCCTCATTCCTAAAAGTGACTGTGAGTCAGTAAGGAGTGAGTAAATCAGAGCCGGTTTGCATTTGTGTTGAAATTACGACGAGTGTCTCTCTGCACAGGTAACAGCACGGTAACGTCAGGCTGATCTTCCGCCCGGACATGAAGGACGGCGTCGCCGATCAGGTGTGAGCACTGTTGGCTGTTACGAGTATTTCACACACCTGCCACGTCATCTTTTACTTTGAAAGACTGTTTTTCTTTCTCCATTGGTTTAACATCTGAAATATTTATTCATTGTCAGATTTTCGTTTTGTCTTGTTCAAAAAAAAATTCTCATGTTTTTAGCTTTTTGTATTGTTGTTTTTCATATCATTATTAACTTGATGTTATTGATGTTTTTTTAAATATATCAACTGCTTTTAATAAAACACTTTGCTTCAGTTTTCTATTGTCCTCCTATTATTTTTTCCTTATTCCGAGCATGTTTTTCATCTTCTTCAAATACCTCATAATTAATCCCTTATTTAGGGGGAGCTGTGCCATTGCCTTTGTTTTTCAATGACCACAAAATGCATGTTAACCAAGATTAGCTGTGTAACTACAGTCCCAGACCTTGAAATCCCATCTCCCCATCACTGTTTAGCATTGCCTTTCTGCTTAAGACCCCATTTGAACTGTAAAGAGTAGTTGGGGGGGTTTGTGGTTGTTTCAGATAAAGACCGCCGCAAGTCGACTGTTTGAATCTCAGGCCAAAGGCTACAGTCCTCGGCCCCAGTGTTTCTGCCTCTGCGCACCACTTTGTGTTTTTACCAGCGGCTCAAACCCAAGCCGATGATGGAGTCCGCAAAATGGTCACCCCGTCTCCAAAGTCTCCAGCTCAGAGGCTTTTTGATGATAATAACATTTGGTGGCTCCATAATGAGCCATTGTCTGTTGGGTGCTCTGTATGCTAGGTGAGGAATGCATGGGCTCGAATTGATTTTTGGACAGTTTGGAGGTGTTATTAAATCCCTTAAATCAGATTGGATTTCAAAGAGAGGCGTCTGCACGTATTTGCACTGGAACGGCTTTTCTTCTGACGCCCGCAGTTCGCGTGTTGCCGTTGTCCGTGACCTTTTTCCCGCTGTCTCCAAATGAAACACGATTCCCTTTGCTCTGTATTTATTTGATGTGCTGATTCTGCTGCCCAGGCAGAGACAGAGGAGAAGAAGAATAGAAAAAAAGAGACAGAAAGGAGAGAGGAGTGTCAAACCAGCAGGAATTTAGTCTTTCAGCACAAAGCCTTTGTAGAGCGTGTTGTTTCTGGACGACGTGCACAGAGGAAACATAGCTATTACAACACAGCATCTTCAGCGCATGCCTGTACATCTAAGGAAGTATGCGAAAGGGTGGTTTGCATGGTGTTTGTAATTACATTGCCTCTCCTCTCATTGACAGTGTCTGGGGTTTTGCACGTTAAAGTGCATTATTATTATTGCATAGTTTTAAAAAAAGAAAAAGTGCCGAGGGTTTTCGTGTCTCTGGGAGCACCCAACCCAAATGAAAGTACTTTATACATCATTTCCAACCACTTACAGAGACAAGTTTTAATAGCAGGGACTGTATGTGAACATGGCTGCTGCTCAGTATTCAAGTTAGGTTGGGACGTGGTACTGAGCTCCTGAGTCTTTAAATTTCAGGTAGATCAGCTGGTGTCTTTGATCAAATTTAAAAAGAAAACTTTCATCGATCCATCACAGATTAGCTTTTAAAAAGTTGGCGTGTTTCATGGCCAGTGAGTGTTGTAAAAGCACCCGGCACACATCCTCTCGTCTTAGCCAAAAAAAATGTTTTTCTGGGCCGTGAGCGTGCACAAATTGTTTCAAAAGCAGAGCAAGATTTTGACTTTCCATCTTTGGCTGCGGTACACAAATTCATTCTCATGTAATTCTGAGACAGTCAGATGGGAGACATTTGATGAACTAACACAGAATCATCCAGTCTTACAGATGCTGACAGTGCAACACTGGTTTAAAAAATCTTGATAGTTGTTAATAAGTAATAATGATAACATTGGTTGTGTTCTTGCATTGCTTCAACGTTAGCTACTCATACATTTATGTACAGTCCCCATAAACCATTACCTACTTACATATGTTCAGTATGGGACCATTTTGAAGGGGGTAAAGACCTCATAATCGTGTCCTTGTTGCACCATTTTCTACAGGAATTGTATTTCCTTTCCACGTCTCTTTACTCTTAATGCTCAAATATAAACTCATCTGCCGCTTTATTAAGGACATCTTACCTTCAGAAGTGCCTTAATTCTTCATGACTGGAGGTTCTGGAAACATGACATGACAGCATCTCTCACTTGCTGCAGCTGACTATTGGATTGAGATTTCCAGCCTTTAAAGGCCATTTGACTAACATGAACTCAATGTCATGTTCAAGAAACCAGATGATTTGAGCTTTGTGACATGGTGTGTTATCGTGCTGGACGCAGAAATCAGAAGATCGGCACACTGTGGTCATAAAGAGATGGACATGATCGCCAAGAGTGCTCAGGCAGGCTTAAACGATTCTTACTTTGTACTAAGAAAGAAATCCCCCACTACATTCCACCACAACCAGCAGTGTGAACCATTGATATAAGCCAGGATGGATCCAAGCTTTATGTTGTTTACTCCAACTCCACTGCTCTAAACCTACTAACCCTACCATTGGCATTTTGCAGCAGAAATCACGACTCATCAGAGGCAACATTTTTCCAATCTTATCCAGGTGAACTGTAGCCTGGGTTTCATTATATTATGGCAGGAGTGGCACCTGGTGTGGTCTTTTGCAGTCCATCTGCCTCAAGGTTCGACATGTTGTGCGCTCAAAGATGCTCTTCTGCATACCTCAGTTTCAACATCAACAGGGCATTTTCTCCCTGAAAACTGCTGTTCGCTGTGTGTAAAAATCCCATCAAATACTCATACCAACCATGCCACAATCCAGCTGACTTAAATCACCTTTTGTCCCCTTTCTGATGCTGATTTTGAACTTCAGCAGGTGTCCTCAGCATGTCTAACACGCCTAAATGTGTTGAGAAGCTGATTGGCTCATTAGATATTTGCGTTAACGAGCAGTAAAACAGGTGTACTTACTGAAGTGACAGTGAGCCTGTATAAATTCAGCTTGATTTATAGTTGCGCCTTATGAGGTTGCACGCTAGCTACAGAGCCTTGGTACATAAATACAGAAACTAAGCAGCGTGTCACGACTAAGGCAGCTTTAGAGAAAACCTTACATAAACAACGTAATTATGACAAATGTAAGGATTAACACGAGGCACCATGCAACGTGAAGGAAAGAATGTAAACTTGGGTTGTGTGAGGCATGGGGGGATTAAATTCAATATGGTTGTAGTGTTGCTCTCATCCATTGAAGTGTAACAGTGAACTAAAAATCTGAATCAGCAAGAGTCCCATTAACCCCAAAATTGACGTCATCACTGTAACTGACGCAACCGAGCCGACACACGTGGTATTTATTAGCTGCTGTTTCCTGAACCTGCGCCTGCTGATGGGTATTTGCTTCAAACGGTAACAATATCTGCGTCCTCTTTTTACCTTTACATCAAAAAGAGATGTTTTACGCCCGGATATTGTCTCCTGGGTGATTTTTTTTTTTTTACTGTAAACACGAGAACTGACAGAAGTAGGTGCAAATTTTTTTTTTTTAAAAGTTGGAGATCAAGCCACATCTGGTTTAACCTCTGCATAAAGATCATCTATAAAAAATGTCAAACACCCACTCCCGAGTCTGTCATTAGAAAGAGGGCTGCAGACGCGGTTAGACAATAAGACGGGCACTTTGTTTGAAGCATACGGAGCTATTAAGGTTGGCTGTAGATCTAAAGGTTAATGTGTTCTTGGGCTTATTTAGCAGAAGCCCGTTTTCCTCATTTACACCCAAATAGGCTCCAGCCATAACCTTTCCTTTAATCTGTGTTATTACTCGGACATAGTTTCACTCTAATTGATTGTCCACCAACCAAATTACCTCCATAATTGTGCTTGTGTAAATACAAGCCATGAATGTCATTTCCACAGAGCCGACATGGCCCCATTAAGGATCAAAGCCCTCGCTTCCTCTCGGCTATCTCCACATCAGACAAGCGGACTGTTATGTGACAACAGTGAAGGGCAGTTAGGCAGCTCCAGAGGTTTGCACTCATCCACCGTGTTCTTCCTTGCTGCTGCTGCCGCTGCTCACGGCTGATGTGTGACGCTCGTTCAGCTGAGATTCCGGCTGATTTTTAACGGGGCTCGCTTCAGCTGGAGGTTTTGGTGTTTCGCTGTCCTAATGAGGGTTTTCTCGAGCGCGTGGGAATTTTAAATGCCGCCGCAGCCGAGATCAAAAGTGCTGCATGTCACTGAATCTGAAATGATGCTGTTTCTCTGTGCAGATGAACCTTAAACTGTTCTTTTCTGTATGTGTTTTACACCTTTAGGATATCAGAGAGGTTATTTGAGGACATTCAGTCGCTGGCAAACCGAACAGACTGCCGTGTGCGTGTATATACCTTAGTCTCAGCCCTTGTGACAAGCCGCCGGGAATGACTGTACATCAGTGTTTGATTGACAAAGTTGCTGCTTGTGTGTGTGTGTGTGATCATACGTGCAGCTGGGTCTTTTTATAGAGCTTCATTGTGAGTCAGACCCTAGGAGGCCGGCGTTTGGCTGCTGTACACTGCTTGCATAAATAAACCTGTTTATCGCCAGCACTTCTGTCTCTCTCTCACACACACACACACAACGCCTTCAACACGTTTCACTTACGCTGTTTATTCTGTCTTCCATCTTGTTTTTTACCTTTGTTGATTCTGTATTTATGGCAGTGATCCCGCCCCCCCCCCCCCCCCCCCCCCCCCCCCTTCCCCAACCTACTCCACCTCCCCTCCTTTTTTCCTGGGCCCTTGTCACTCAAACGCAACAGGAGCTATGAAAAGGATATGCCGCTGTGTGATCTCAGGAAGAAGTGGGTTACAGGCTGGAGTGAAGAAGGCACAGCAGGTTGTGTTTGTGTGATTGTGACACGGATCTGCCGTCTGGGCTGATCGTGTGGGTTGAGCAGAGGGACAGACGTCCATGCATTCAAGACAGTGTGGGAGGTTTTGTCTGTACCACTTGCCCTATGTCTCTGTCTGGGTATGCGGTATATCTCACTCCTTCTTTTTATCTTGCTCAGCCTCTCTACCTAAAGTGATAATGGGTCAGTAGACAATTGCAAAACTGGCACTAATCACCTGAAAATGCATCTGTTTTTGTTTTGTTTTTTAGCCATTCAAACCTTTGCAGGCTTTTGGATAATTTACCTTGGATTTTCTCTGTGCTGTCACGGTACTCCCACTGTCCTGGGGGACTGACTGGCATGGCAGGGCTGTTAGATCATCTAGTTGATCTATAAAAGCTCTTCCATCACCTTATATTGAATCTACACCTTCCTCATCCTCACAAGTACTTTGTTTACTCTGACGCTGCTGACACCATCGCACCATTCATGTTTAAATAAGGTGCACATGGCGCATTAATGCTAAGCAATAAAGCTTATAAAGAAGCACATGCACCCGCCCACATTTTGTCTTTTTCCATCTGTTTTAGTTTTTCAGTTAATGCAAATATCTAATCAGTCCATCACATGGCAGCTATTCAGTGCATGTAGGCATGTAAACATGGTGGAGATGACCTGCGGAAGTTCAAACCGAGCATCAGAATGGGGAAGAAAGGTGATTTAAGAGACTTTGAATGTTGAATGGTGGTCTGAATATTTCAAAAACTCACAATGTACTGGGATTTTCCCACACAACCATCTCTAGGGTTTACAGATACCAAAAACAAAGAAGATCTCCAGTAAGCAGCAGTCCTCTGAGTGACAATGCCTTGTTGATGCCAGAGGAGAATGGCCAAGCTGATAGAAAGGCAACAGTAACACAAATAACCAGTCATTACAATTGAGGTATGCAGAAAAGCATCTCTGGATGGACAACATGGCAGACCTTGGAGCAAATGGGCTACAGCAGCAGAAGAGCTGCCTCTCCTATTAGCTAAGAACAACTAAGGCTACAGTTTAGGATCCATGCTTCCTTGTATCGACTGTCCAGGCTGCTGCTGGTGGTTTAATGGTGTGGGGGAGATTTCTTTGACACACTCTGGGCCCCTTAGTGCCAACTGAGTATTGTTTAAACACCAAACCTACATGAGTATTGTTGCTGTCCATGTCCATCTCTTTATGACCACAATGAGTCCACATCCCAAACCAATAGAGCATCTTTGGGATGTGGTGGAACAGAAGATTCCCGTTGTGTGCAGCCGACAAATCTGCAGCAACTGCGTGATGCTGTCATGTCAATATGGAGCAAAATCTCAGAGGAATGTGTCCGCCGACTTGTTGAATCATGATGAATTAACGCAGTTATGAAGGCAAAAGACAAAAGAGACGTACGTTGGTATCCAGACAGCCATCTTTTTGAATTATGTCATAATGTTATTGTCAACTTATGAAACTAAAAGGAGACCCAGAACTGTTGATATAAAATTTTATGTCAATTGGTTTTCAAAGCAGAAATTGGGCTTCTTTTAGTTTTGTCATTAAAAAGTGGTTTCAGAAGAGTTTTATTATTAAATAGTTTCGATGTGCTTGTTAGTAGCTGCAGTCCTAAAAGGGGATGTCTAAGTATCTCAGCCTTGATCTGATTGTCATGTGTATTTGCCTGCACAGACAATGTGATGGCTTGGTATTTCTTCTCTGGATTTGGACTAACATCTGACAGATGAACAACATCAGACTTTTCCGGGAGTTAAAAACAGACACTCGTTGAGCGTTTTAGCCCTCATCATAGCATGCCCCCGTTGCCATGGCACTCACTCTGTTGATATGTCACACCCTTTTAATGGAGGAACAGGAAGTGGGGATGAAGATAAAATCTGGCATCTGATGAATGGACGAGCAAGTTAATCACCTTCACAGGTCAGAGGGGGGGGAACCCTACATCTCCAAGTCAGGAAGGAGGAAGACGGGGTTAAAGTGATAAATTAGGGATGAGTGGGGGGGGGTTAGGTTAAGACTGATTCAGAGACGGATCACTGTCCTGTCAAGCATGGTAGAACTGGGGCGTCCTGCTTGTGAAGTGTCTGCATGGTGCTTCAGTGCAAGCAGCAGAGGAAATGAAAGTCATTACTGTCAGTGTGGAGTGAGCTTCATGGCCCAAACGGGATTAGACGGTGCATCCGACATTGTTTCTATACATTGTTAGACTTAAAAGTCAAGCGCAAAATGGGATTAAAACGAGGGGAAAAAACCAATAAATAACCTCCAACACGCTCCCCCCCTTTGCCTCTTTTATTTCTTCTCTGTCTTCCCTACCTTCCAGTTCCCTGCCTATTTCATAGTCTTTTCTCTTTCACCTGTCTCACTTCCCCTTTTCTGCTCTCTGGGATACGTTTATCTTTCCCTACTTCTGCTCTTTTCACACACTCCTCCCCATCATCATAATTCACACGTAGGCGCAGACTCCCACTTGCACTTTACATTCTCTGTTTTGCAAATAAAAAAAATAAAAATAATACATCCTTCTGGGGCCAATTGGTGCTTGAAATCCAACTTTACTCCCCTCAAACTGAACCCTTTCAAAAACAAACCCCCTCCACAACTCGCACTCTTTTTTCCCCTCCCTTCCTCCTCTTCCTCTTTCAAAACAGCCCCATAACAAACTGGTGAATTGTTGCCCTTCCTTAACTTTTAAGGGTATTATGCACCATGTCCAACTTCAAAGCCTGTCTTAACTCCACACTTTAATTGTATCTTCCCCAGCTCGCTGCATGCTATTTGATTCTGCTGACAACAGCACTTCTCCCACCGTTCTTCTCCATCGTTCTCCACCTTTACTCATCTTGGTCCTTCCTTAAGTTGTGTGTGGACACCTTGCACCACCATCAACACTGCTGCACCTCTCTCATCAGCTTCTTGCTTCCTTTAGAGACCATTGCCCCCCCAGTTGTCACCTGCTTTGAAGAGGTGGCCTCCATTTCCTCTCTCGGCAGTCGCTTGTCGCCTGGAGTGTGTACACACCAAACAAACTTGAAACAGTAACCCCCTGTCCTACATTGGTTAGCCTCTTTATCTGTTCTCTCTCTCCCCCTCTCTGTCTGTGAGAGCTGACTTACACCTCATGGCCCTGGTTGATAATTGCCATAAGCTTCCCTCTTGGTTTCATTTTCCATTGTCCTCCCCCAAATTCTTGGCTCTGGCTTGAGATAAAGGGATGAGTACTTCAAAGGGGTCTGCAAAGAGTTTAACCCCGAGCCGAAAAGGAACAGCACACAATACTGTAATTGAGAGCAGTTAGTGATCACAGAGCTTCTGCGCAGAGAGGACAGCACCGGTGGACTCGCACACACGCACACACTCTTAGTGTTTATAGCTACAGCTGAAGTGGCCATCAGCAGTTGGGGCAGCCCAAGGCTACTCATAACCCATCCATAAAAAAAAAAGAAAAACTTTCCTCTCCTCTAAAGTTAAATTCAGTTTTATTTATATGGCACCAAATCGCCTCTGTCAGTGCGCCCCAGGGTGGCTGTGGCTACAATGTAGCTTGCCATCACCAGTGTGTGAATGTGTGCGTGAATGGGTGGATGACTGGATATGTAAAGCGCTTTGGGGTCCTTAGGGACTAGAAAAGCGCTATATAAATACAGGCCATTTACCATTTACCATCACAACAATAGTCGGCTCAAGGCGCTTTATATTGTAAGGCAAATATAATAACACAGAGAAAACCCCAACAATCAGACGACCTTCTATGAGCAACCGCTTGGCGACAGTGGGAAGGAAAAACTCCCTTTTAACAGGAAGAGGAGAGGGAGAGGTAACCCATCTGCTGTGACTGGATGGGTGTAAGGGGGGGGGGACGATAAGATAAAAGATTCTGTGAAAGAGCCAGAGATTAATAATAAATATTAAATGCAGAGAGGTGTATAAACACATAGTGAGTGAAGAAGAAACTCTCAGTGCCATGGGAAGCCTCCAGCAGGCTACGCTTATTCAGCATAATTAAGGGAGGATTCAGGGTCACCCGATCCAGTCCTAATTATATGCTTTATCAAAAAGCTCATTTTTAAGCCTAATCTTAAAAGTAGACAGAGTGTCTCCCAATCCAAACTGGGAGCTGATTCCACAGAACAGGGGCCTGAAAGCTGAAGGTGCTGCCTCCCATTCTACTTTTAAATATCCCAGAAAGTAAACCAGCACTCTGAGAATAAAGTGCTCTACTGGTGTGATATGGTACTATGAAGTCTTCAAGATAAGATGAGGCCTGATTATTCAGGACTTTGTGTGTGAGACGAAAGATAAAGTAAATTTAAAGTTGATTCTGGATTTAACAGGGAGCCAATGAAGAGAAGCCAATATGGGAGAAAAATGCTCTGTCTTTCATTTGTCAGAATGTTTCCCATCAAATATGACTTAAGGTGAAGTATTGAGATCCATGTTGTGCATGGAGAGAAAAAAGCAGTCAACATTAAAGAAGTAATGGGCTTACACCTGATTTATGTGACTCCCCCTCCCTCCCAATCCAACCGTCTCTATTTATAGAGCTCTTTGTAGCAGGTCTGAATTTGACCTGTCCCTGTAATAATATCTGCCCATAAAGAGAGACAGTTACATCCCATAACCTCTCCCCTTGAAGCCTCTCTTTTCAAAGATCTTTTTATAGGAGACAGAAACCCCTGGGCAGCCCCGGTCTCTGGCTGGTCACAGACCTGAGGTCAGCTCCTGAGGGGCAGCAGGGAAAATCCGACCAGTTGAACCACGGAGGGGGTTGAAGAGGCAGGACACGAGGGTCCAACTGGCCCCTGGTACCGGCAGGGGGTCCCTACCATCACCCTGGTGATGTCTTCCACCCTGATGTGTTTACTGTCAGAGGTCAGCCCTGGCTGTCCAAAGTTAACAAAGACTCACTCTGTCAGAGGTGCTGTTGGTATATTACCCAGATGACCTGTATAACCTGCACAGAGACCTCTGCTATGTAGATTTTTGTGAGATAAGAAATTGTGCTTGTGCTAACATTTCTCTCGCCCCAAGTCTGACTCATTATTATTATTATTATTATTAATGTCTTTCATGGGACAGGGTTTTCTCCTTCATCAAACACACAGATGGTGGCAGTTTATTCTTTTGACCCAATTCCAGTGTTTATTCATTGCTTTTCAAGTGTTACAGCTTCCTCATAAAGCTGGTCGAGTTTACATGACAAATTTTCCATATGTCCTCCCTGAGAAACTGTAGGAGTATCTGCTGGGCTAAACGGCTGTTCAACTTTTTGCCGGGATAGCGTGTTTGAAATAGACACAATGGGAATGTGCAGGATGTGACAGAATTTGAAGGCGGTAAAGTGGCCTTTGAATGATGAGTAATCCCTTAGTCATCATGGCCTCTTCCAATTTTCTCTTTTATTAACCTTGATGGGAAAAGAGGCATCAAGGGAGAAAGTCTCACAGCACCTTTAGCAAACAGGCTGATCAAAGTGGTTTCCATCTTTGTACTGTACTTTTTTTCCCTTCTTTTTTGGATCCCTGTCCGGTGAGACAACAAGGACACACACAGACACCTACTGTCTCTCTTTCAAGAACATAGGCAGGCATCTTGCACAAAGGGTCCCTTGTGGTGGCTCATTTGAACACTAAAGACCCCTCCAAAACACCACTGAGTCTGTCCAATAAACACTATCAACACTACTGTAGCCACCACGGTACAAATAAAGGAAGTGCAGCTTCTAAAATGTCCATCTTGATGGACATTTTGGCTGCCTGAGCTGCTTTCCAACCCCCTTTTCGTGTTATCTCAACAGTGCAGTTAAGGAGTAGAGAGCTTCATAGTCAGAAGTGCAAAGAGGACTTATTCTTGTGCTGCTTAAATGATGTGATAACATCTGTCAGTGAACTTATCCACAGTGAGCAGATGTTTTAATCTGCGGTGTATGCACGTGCCCTTCTAAGCCACTGGTAGGAGCTGTGGAGTGATAACAGCACTGTGATTTCCTTTCCTATGGCAACACACTGTATCTTTATAAGCACTAGAGATGGTAAAGTGACTGTCCTTGAGTCAAAACACACGTTTCCATTGTTGGGAATTCCCTTCAGTATCTTTGAATCCTGCAGCGGTTCAATGAAACTTTCATTACTCTGCAGGATGTTTGCCCCCCAGCCAACCCCCTAAAAAAAACCCAAATCATATTTGTCCATATTACACGTGCTATTTTGAAACGCGCCGTTGCATTTATTGTGCAACCCCATGAAAGAAAAGAAAAGGAAAAAATGCCCGCGTCTTTAAAGTTTATGTAGCAACAGAGGGATTGTAGCGATAATGCCATTGGGGCGGCAGATCAGTTACTTCTGACGCTCCAAAGCCTCGGGGAGTTGGCTCAAGATTGCCTGTCTTTGATAAGGTCCTCACACTGTAGCTACAACTTCGTGGTCTAAGGAAAGCTTGCCAAAAGATGTGGAGGGAAAGGTCAGGAAATAAACCGAGCAGCTTTTAAACAATATTTCATCACCAGTAACTGCACAAAACTGTGGGGTCTCCACCACTTGTTTCGCTTTTTTCTTTTCTTTTCTTTTTTTTTTTGAAGGCACGAGGTTGCAATTGTTTTTTATGCAGCTGCCGGGACCCGGCAGTCGGTTCCTCACTTTGAAGTGCGCTGCTCCAGCCTCTCGGTTCAGTTGGTGTTGGAGTCGCCTACAGGAGAGATCTACCGTGCGGCATGGCAGCCTGAAACCATAGGGAGGAGAAAAGGAGGAGGCTGAAAAGCGATATATATATTTTTCTTCCTCTCTCGAGTGCATTTTTCTCTCTGTAAACCGACTCGAACCTGAACGGACTGTATGTGGACGCGCTAAGGAGACCAGCATTGTGGATTATAAGCGAATTTTTGTATGTGTGTGTATGTATTTGTGGAGGGAGAAGGGAAAAAAAGAAGAAACCCGGAGTTTTAATTCGAGCTGAAGAACTCGTGGATCGATGGTAAGTTGCAAGAGTGTGTGCCTCCTCAAAGTGGCCCCCATTGGAGTTCTCTTTGATGTGCTGTTGACTCGCCTTTGAAGTAATGTTCTGAGGGTTGGGGAGGGGGGATGATTGGTCGCTTTTCTTACTTTTAAAGCCCAAGGAGGAACTGAGTCATCTCTGTGCCGTGTTCACGGAAATTTCCTTTGCGATAATATTTCGTACTTATATTTGTACATATTGAAGTAAGTGGTCGTTTCTATGTGTGTGTGTGTGTGTGTGTGTGTGTGTGTGTGTGTGTGTGTGTGTGCGTGTGCGTGTGACTTTCTTCCCCTCACAAGATCAGACAGATCAGAGACTTCGGTGCACTTGGAGTGTGGACGTTTATTTATTTATTTTTTAAACCAGGGCTTGTTTCGTCTTTAAACGCAGCGTTAAAGAAATATGTGACAAGTGTGTGGGGGTGTAATGTGCGTTATCATTCTCTTTCTTTCATTTTTCGGTATCCTGTGGGAAGCTTTTGACTTGTAGCTGTGCCACGAGCTCTTTTTTCTAATCTCTTGACATGTTTAACAGTCGAGCGGTGGATCGGTGATACTAAGTGACATGTTCAAGGTTGCACAGCAGCCGCTAATACACTGTAACTACCGCTGATGCTTCGGGGACACGTTGTAGCGATCGTCTGTGCAACAAACTGGGGGATGTTTTAAACAGTTGTGGAGGCTAAAGCTCCACAAGCAGCAGCCTTGCTGTCCGTATTAACTATTTCGGTCACGTTTTTCCATCACTTGGAGTTTGTCCCACATCGGTGTCCTACAGGTACTTGAAGCAGTGGCTCGATTTGGTGTATTTTTTTTTTAAGATGAGACGTAGAGAAGTGAGAGAGTGGCAGGGATGGTAGGGGTAAAACGATCAGGAAGCGGCGTCCGTGCGTAATGCTTTGGCATTTTATTGGGAGGGAGAGGAGTTGGGGAGGGTACATGTCTTATTAATTGGCGCTCAGGTCTTAACCCACTTTGACGTGCATGCAATTACTACTTCTCGTGATGTTATGGAAAAGGATGGCGGCGATCCAGTACAGACATCGCTTAGGTGGGTGCCCCCCTTCCCCTCTTGTTAAATGTTTTAATTTAACCAACAGCGCCTTCTGTAGAAATCATATCCCTTAGTTGAGATATGAAGAAGTGCTGTTTATGTAATTCTGCTGCAGCTGGATTTTTTTTTCTCTCCCCCCCAAATCTGAACTAGTCTGTCTGTTTCTGTAAAAGTCAGCGAGGGTCTGAAAAGGCTCTTACTGCGTTTCTGCCCCCCTTTGAAGTTGGGGCGGATCTGGTTTTGATTAGATCAATACTTTGTGTTTCAGAGAGAAGCCGGGCAGCCAGAGAGAAGCCCCCCCGCTGACATAAGAGAGTGAGGAGATTACAGTAGAAGCTCAGAGGAGGTGGAACAGCACACACGCGGGCTCTCTCCTTTCTGCCGTCAGAGCCATGAGCCGGGCGCTTATGGACCATATCGCCAGTAGTTTTCGCGAAGATGCGCCTCGACCCCCTGTGCCCGGGGAGGAGGGCGACGCGCCCTGCTACCCCGGCAAACTCCCAGTAATGAAACCCCTGGAGTCCCCCAAATCCGTTCTGCTCGGCTCTCCGGGTTCCTCTGCGAGGAGGAACGAGGATGGTCTCGGGGAGCCAGAGGGGAGTGCCTCCCCGGATTCCCCGCTTTCCCGGTGGACAAAGTCTCTGCACTCTCTCCTCGGGGACCAGGACGGCGCTCTTCTTTTTAGGACATTCCTGGAGCGAGAAAAATGTGTGGACACTTTAGACTTTTGGTTCGCCTGCAATGGATTCAGGCAGATGGACCTCAAGGATACCAAAACGCAGAGAGTCGCCAAAGCAATTTACAAGCGCTACATCGAAAACAACAGCATTGTCGCCAAACAGCTGAAGCCCGCGACGAAAACCTACATACGGGATAATATTAAGAAGCAACACATAGACTCTGCCATGTTCGACCAGGCGCAGACCGAGATCCAGACCGACATGGAGGAGAACGCGTACCAGATGTTTCTGACCTCTGACATTTACCTCGAGTTCGTGAGAACTGGGGGAGAGAACCCGAGTCATGTCAACTCGAACGGGCTGGCGGACCTGAAAGTTGTATGTGGATACCTGCCCACGCTCAACGAGGAGGAGGAGTGGAGTTGTGATTTGAAAGCTAAAGCACTTATTGGACTTTCGGCTAAAGCGCAGAGGGCCCCCATTTCCCTGAGGGCAGTGGAGGTGATGGACGGGGGATTCAGGTATGGCGCTTTTACTCTGTTTTCTGGTGCAAAGTTGTTGCACACCAGAGGCAACCGTGCAAGCATTTCTCTCCTGTACAAGTGCTTTTTCTCAACACCACATTAGTTTGCAGAAAACTGGTCAGCCTACCCCCTCCCTGTCTTTCACTCTGGCCCCCTCTCTCGCCGTCTCCAGCAGCAGCAGCCCTCTGCTGGCGCTCGCCTGGATTTCCGGGGCTTTGAAATAGTTCCGCAGAGTGAGGGATCGTCTTCCACAGGAAAAGTTCACAGAGCACGCTGGCTCTGGCCCCAGCCAGCAAATAATAGATGATGACATTGCTGTGCTATGCCTTCTCTTGTACCACACTGTCCTCAAGCTTTTGGCAGAGAGATAAATGTATAGCAGAGCTATAGATGGCACTTTGAAGTGGCTGTTTTGTAGTCTCACTCGGGTGCTTGCTAGGCCCTTTTCTCGTTTTTTCCACGTTGCATTTAAAGGAGGGTGTTTTAGATTAAGACTGCATCCCAAATAAATTGAAGTGATTCATGAGTTTAAAGGACAGCAAAGACAGCAGTGTCAACTCTGGGGCATCCTCTGATGTTCCTGTTGCTAACTTACAGTGACAGGCTGAGCTAAGCTGACAGCTACCTGCTCAGGACAGCAGGGATTGGCAGCTCTCCCTTTTCTCTGCCCTCCCATTGTTGTCACCCTTTCAGATTCAAAACATGTGCTCTTAATTTCTCCCCCTCCCCTTTTTTCTCCTTTCCTCTCCCCTTACCTCTTCTCATCTGACTCAGATTCTCTTTAAAAAAAAAACATAACAAACGGCAGCAGCTACAGTGCAGAATCAACACCCACCACCACCACCTCCCCACCAAAAAACCTTCTTCACTCTCTTCTTCCCTCTTTTCTTGTTTGCGTCAATTCTCCTCTGATTCCCTCCTTCGCTGCGTTCCCCCCACCCCAACCCACCCGCCTTCTCTACTTTTATCTTTTTCCTTTGAAAACTCAGGGATAGGGACTACGAGGCATGCTTTTGGAGCGAGAGTGAAGATGGGGAGGAGGAGGTGGGAAGGGGGAAAGGGAGCGAAAGGAAGGAAGGACAGAGGGAAAGGAGGTGGTGGGGTAGGGGTGGTGGTGGGATGCATAAAAGAAAGGGAGGGAGGAAAAAGCATAAATGAGGGGGTGAAAGAGGCAGGGAGGGAAGAATGCAAGGCCAGCTGTGTTAAATACCTGACTCTTTGCGAGCCCCTCTGAAGGTCAGCCCGGAGCTGGGGGCCTACAGCTTTAGTCATGCTGCGTTTCTGCTTCCTCGTGAAGAACCCACCTCTCCCCTTTGTTTCCTTCTCTGACACACTCTCATGCATCCCACTCCATACTTTTTTCCTTTTTTGGGTCATTCCCCCTCCTTTCCTCTCCTCCTGTACCGTGGCAAGAATGCATACACAGCGGGAGATGTATGCCGGGGAAATGGAAAGAGAAGTTATGGGATATTTAAGAAGCAATAAGGAGAAAACTGAAGTTTTCCCAGGCCTCAGACTGCTCTGTCACATCCATTCGTTGTTGTTGGGAGCAGATGAGTGAGGCTATAGTTATAGTTCTCTGAAACATTAGAAGATGGAGCTTGTTTTGATGTCACCTTCTCAAAATGACAGAAACACAGTGAATTGTACCCACCTGTTGGATATTGATTCATATTAATCTGATTTTTGTTGGAAACTTCTCAGGTCATACAAGAGAGGAGACTCACTCAACCCCTGCCATTCAGGCTCTTTCGCTCCTGTCAGCAGCACGAATGACAGTGAGGTTTCCAGTGACGCCTTGACTGATGACGCCATGTCCGTGACTGACAGCAGTGTGTAAGTGAATATTATCCAAACATGCGTTATGTGTGTGTGTGCAAAAATGAGAGCAAATCCCAAAGAGCTTTCTGTTTGAAGCTGTAGCCATACTGGAAGAATAGCTTGCCATTGATGGATTGTGGCACCTTAAAAAACAACCAAAGATGCACTCCAGTATCCAGGACGTGGTCTAGATTAATGCTAAGCTCCACCATAACACACTTTTGACTTTGCCACTGGAGTGTATATGCAGGAAGACTTTGAGTCGATTAGAAGGAATGAGTATAGTAACTTTACATTTTATGCATCTGTGGGCATGAGCAGTGTTTTGATGTCAGCTGATTTGCTTGTTACACTTTCTGATTAGCCTCTTGCTGAGTCTTGCCCTGCTGGGGCTCTCTTTTCCTGCTATTAGGGAGTATTTCTTCTCCACTGTCACCAAGATGCTTGTTGCGGTGAAGAAAATCAAGAAAACCTCATTTTTAAAAGTTGACATTTGTCTAAATTAGCTCTGATTGATCACTTATCGAGGAACTTACAAATCAGTCGCTCATGCTGTACATGTGGTTTGCGCTTATCTGTGTACGTGCCTTGGCGCTCGTTCTTCTAAAGGATTGCTTGGCGTAATCACGTGTCTCTCAAGTGACAAGGTGCTGTGAAGTCATTGCGTGGTGCACAGCTCAAGGCCAGATGTGCTTTAGTCAGCTGGCTTTTGGACGCAAAGCAAAAAGAAAAGTTGGTGCAACAAGTTGCTCTTTACCTCGAGTCACCTGGGAGGTAGGCGGGGTTGTCGAGGCACGGATGGATGCAGTAACTATGACCAAGCTAATGAAACTCAAAGACTGACACATGGTTGTTCAGCTGAATTAATGGGGCTGGGTTACACATAAGTATGGCAGCTGTAAAGGCTTTTTTTTTTACAATGGGACGTCCTCTGTTCTGGCATATCACTACACAGCCTTACTTCAAAGAGACCGAGGCCTATATTGCCCTGTTCCGCTGTACTTTGCCCAGAGCCAGTGACAAAGCCCTGGCCACAGGGGCGCAGCTTCTCCACCTCATTTTCTGCCCGTTCTGGCCTTGATCTGAATATCTGCCTTGCCGCTTTAGGTCAGTTAAAAAAAGACCCATAAACATTTGAATTTCATTTACAGATAAAGAGGAGAAAAAAAGAGAGAAAAGGGAAAACGCAACGGGGGAGGAGGCGGTTGGGTGGGAAGAGAAAGAGAGTAGCGGAGGGGGGATTTTTGCTTATATCTTATTTATGGATTTGCTTGGACGCTGGGGAATGCAGCTGCGCAGACTTCAAACATTACCTTATCTTACAAACCAGCCTTTTGATGTGCGGAGATCAGAGGCTGGCTGCAGCAGCGCTTGCCAAATGAAGATTGGGGAGGGGAGGGAGGGGTGGTTGCTTATGCGCATGACTGTGGCATTTCAAAGCAAAAGTGGAAAAGTGCTTCTCAGTTAGGCTAGGTCACCAGGAAACTGCTGTTTAGCATGGAAGGAAAGAGATTGTTTTACACTGTCAAGTGCTTCAGTTTGAAGCTCTGCTGTTTGTTGTTTGATTCCCTCTTTTGTGTTTTTTGTTTGAGTCAGTCAGCCCTTCATCCCCTCAGACTTAACCAGGTTACCTGCACCCTTGGGTCCTATCCTGCAGTAACTCTTTGGAAAAGCATAATGAGTAGCTAATGCTAACTGTGTCCTCAGCTTACCATAAAAGTCAGGAGGGAGATGCTAATGCTGACGCTACTTTTGGCCCGTAAAGTGGAGCACAGTAACTGCAGTGTGCATTTGTGTGTATGCTGGTGAAAGGAAATGACCAGCAGGGTGCCCAGTGTTGTGCTGGAGCCAGCCCTGAAAATGAGTGTCGTTTCTAGGGCAAATAAAACCTTACTCATTGCAGCGTAACCCGAGCCGCTCGGAGGCGGAAATGCTGTCATAATTTACCTCTGAGTAGCCTTTTTGTTCTCAGATTAAGACTGAAACATGAAAAGCTAAATGAATTGGAGAATTAATAAATTAGATTTGTTCTTGCCTGAACTGTGTTTGATCTGCCCATTTGGCTAACAAGCTTCTTCCTGAATGTCTGTTTGGTCTTTAATGATGTATCCGATTGGGTAATTGACCTTTGTGGTCTGTCTGCGTACCCCCCTCTCCCCCTCCCCAGAGATGGCATCCCTCCATATAAACTGGGCTCCAAGAAGCAGCTACAGAGGGAGATGCAGCGAAACATGAGGATGAACAGCCAAGTCTCGCTGCCTGCTTTTCCTGTAAGTACACAAACGCACACAGACACACACACGTGCATACGTACATGCATAACTTCACATACACATGCTCAGAAGTCTCCATACCACCCTGTGTTCGGGTCTCTCTGGGTTCTATGAATAGTATTGCACAAACTGTATTTGGCATCTTCAATTCAACAACGCCAGCAAAGATCTAAAGAGTAACGTCAAAGACCCAGCCTCCCACTCTCTCTCTCGCACACACACATACACACACATTCACATAAGCTCGCATGCAAACACAACCCCGCTCCCTACCTTTGGTGTCACCTGCACCCCCATTAGGGTTCCTTGAAGTCTGCGGGAGACGGGGGGGTCTCTAAGCTGTTTATCGCCACAGCGCTCGGAACACACCAGGGTTTTTCTTCCCCACCGATGGTGTAAATATGGAGAACAGAGAGAGATGAGGAAGATCTCTGCCGCTTTATCCCGAGGGCTCTGAAATCAGCCCGGTTCCTCAACAAAAACACAAAGATACTCAGACACATTCACACGCACGCACATTCACGCACACGCGGCGCTTTGATCCACGGATGAATGGAACAAACGCACAGGGAAGTGACAACTTCCAGCAGAGCTGGCCCCCTTTTTTTCTCCCCCTTTTTTTCACAGCCCCGCCACCCTTCCAACCCCCAGCACACACACACATACAGAAACACAAATGCTCAGCCAGCCCCCTCCCCTAAAAGTGAAGGATCTAAGGGGAAGAGTTTGAGCATGTCATGTGAGCTCTCAACAGGTCAGAGGGGAGTTTGTAGCTTAAGGCTTAAGAGAAGCTAACTTCATGTTGAGAGAAAAAAAAAGTCCGAATCGAAGGCGGGGGGGGGGGCACAACTTGCAGTAGTAGCTGTAACAGAAGCAGCTTGTTAAAACAAACTTAAAGTAACTCCCTTTTTTTTCTCCACATTATGAGGTATGCAGTAACTGTTGCTGTTGGATCTCGCCGCTTTCACTCAATCTCCCCCTTTTGCTTTATTTTCTTCTTTTTTGGCTTTTATTCTTGTTTTTGTTTCCCGTCTGATTTTTGGCGATGGCTGCCATTCCCATGGTGCACCAGCTCCAGGCACCATCAGACAGCTCCTCTTTTTCTCACTTTTTTCTCCCCTTTATCCCGACTACAAAGGCTTATGAGAAATTGGGGGGGGGGAGAGAATCAAGAAAACCCAACTGCAAAAATAATTTAAGATGCGTGCGTATGCACCCAATCTCATGCTGTCACTTTACTGTACGTTAAAGATGCCCAGCGTGTGGGGGGTGGGGCTAAATTACCTCAACCTTTCTGATCTCCCATCCTGTTTTTCTGGCACCTTTATCTCTTTCCTTCAGTCCTTCCCTCTCTTCGTTTTTCTCCCACACACATCTCAACTTCTCCCAGTTTCTTTTTCTTTTTTTTAATCCCTCATCCTTTTCCTCCCTGGAGTTCTCTTCCACCCCCTGTCGATATGTGGCTTTTATTTCTAGATGTAAAGCCACTGCTTCCCATCAATCTATCCCTCCATCCCCCCCTCAGCCGCTCTATTCTCCCCCCACTGTGTGTTTGATATTTGACGAGGAAGGCTTTGAAGTGAGCTGACTTTAAAGAGGCCTGCTGATGATGACAGAAGGAACCAGCCGAGGCCCTGGCCCAGCATGACCATGCACCAGGCCTGCCAACCCCTGAAAACAGCCCTGTAGCCATAGGTGCCAGTGCGAGTGCCCTGATCAGAACTGCCTTTAGTGGGAAATGCATGCTATAGATGATGTGAAGTGCTATAGTAATGGAGGGATGGCATGAGTCTTGCAGTTTCTTATATATCTTCTTTTTTTATATATCTCCTCTACAGCGTACTCGCCATCCACCAAAAGAGATGATACCAATGGAGCCAGCACAGTTTGCAGCCCAGCTCATCGCCCGCCTGGAGAACCTGAAGAGGCAGCAGGAAACCATGAACACATTGGAGGAGAGGCTGCAGCAGATTCAGGAGGTTTGTGTGACTCTGGTTCTTACTGAAGAAATGAAAGATGAAGATGTTTTGTTCTGGCCTTGACTTAGTTTGCCTTGTTTTTATCAGGAGGAGGAAAGAGAAGATGCCGAGATCATGGGAAGTGCTCCCGCGCTCTCACCCCACTCCTTACCCCTCCTCTCTGGCTCCTCTGACGAGGACCCCCAGGCCATCCTGGACGAACACCTTTCCCGCGTCCTGAAGACCCCCGGGTGCCAGTCCCCGGCCGTGATCCGGCATTCCCCTCGATCCAGCTCGCCAGAACACCGGCCTTTCACATGCGCTGGCTTCAGTGTCAAGGGCCTGGTGAGAACCGGGCCCTCCAGTTCGTCTGCATCCAGTCCCGACCAAGGGGCGATTACCCTGTCCCTGGGTCCCAACAGAACCCTCGTAAGCAGGCAGAGCACGAAACACATCCACCATCACTACATCCACCATCACGCTGGTCCGAAGTCTAAAGAGCAGATCGAAAGGGAGGCAGCCCTCAGGGTGCACAGCGTGTGCTCCGGCAGCAGCGAGTGCCAGCCCTGTCAGCCGTACCAGCGCAGCCGCAGCCTAGGCAGAGAGATGTGTGGGGCCATCACCACAGACAACAGCATGGGGTCAGTCCCAAGCACTTGTTTCATATTTGTCTCCCATTTGTTTTTTCTTTTCTGTCAGTGTTTAAAATAAGCAGTGCAATTACTCTTCCAGGCGTTCAAGCTCTCTATCGAGGCGGGTGTGCCGCTCAGGGGCTGAGGATGGAGTAGCGGAGAGGTGCATGGAGGACTGTGGACCCTTACAGCTGCCCACTGACACAGCAGATCCCACCCAGAATGTGCTGCAGTGGATCCTGGAAAGTAAACGACAGGGCAGACACAAGTCTCACAGGTGAGTGGAGGATAATACTAGGAGTATCTGTGTGAGTGTTGGGGACACCTTTTCATGTTGTTAAAGTCAAATTTCCTCGTCTCCCTCTCAGTACCCAGAGCACCAAGAAATCCTTTGGAGGCTCATCTACTCAGACACACACGTGGGGCGGGGGTGGAAGCTGCGGCCACCTACGTGGTCACCAGCCGGCCCAGCCATTCATCCAAGACCCAGCTATGCCTCCGCTCCCTCCTCCCAACACTTTGGCGCAGCTGGAGGAGGCCTGCCGCAGACTGGAGGAGGTATCCACCAAGCCCACCAAGCAAAGGTACACACAGACTTCAAAGAGCAGATTATTATTAAGTAACGCTCTTGGTTATAACTTCAAACTATTCCAGATGTGCTTTTTAAACTCAAGTCTTATTTCATTTCTCTTCCCAGGCATTCAGCGTCCAGCCTTCAGCGAGAGAAGACCCACCTCATGCCTGTTCAGGACGGGGCGTCTGTCCCCCTGCCGCTCGTCAGTCCCAGCCCCGCTGGCGTCCCCGCGACCAGTCTCCAATCAGAAGAGTACGATGCCTCTACAGTCCTGCCCTCCCTCTCCTCTCCTCCTTTCTGCTCTTCTTCCTCCTCCTCTCAGCTCTAGCCTCCAACTTCCAAGTGTACTTTGACCCTTTTTAACTCTTCCCACTTGTCACCCGCACCATTTGCTTGCACACAGATAGATGAGAAGCAGCTATGCTACACACACATTACACCCCACAGACACTCACTTATTTAAAGCTTTGTACACCTAGCACTGCCTCTTACGTCTGCATGAATCGCGTGCATTTGTGCTGTGCATGGAGAGCGTGTGTCTGTGCGTGTGTGCAGTCACTGCACCACCTGACCGAGACATCCCTTTTCATATATCTGTATCATTTTTATTGGCTGTCCTTCAGTGAGCTGGCACTAGGTTTGGGCGAGCAGAGCTTAGCAAAGGGAGGGTTCCTCTGAAGCGGGCCTACAAAGCCTTGGACGTAGCTGAAGGGGAATTGATAACCGTGCAAACACAAGCGCAAACTTATAGACGGCACTGGGTCACTCCGTCCCTCAGGATGCTCTTAGTTACTGTATTTCTGGTCTGTTGTGGGAAAAATTTAGTAGATTGCTTGTTGGAGAACTTCTTATTTCTCTTTTGTCGAGATGTTGTCTGGTATAGCGAAAGCGCTCGCTGCTTCTGACGCCCTTCCTCTCTGTCTTTTGTTTCCCGGCAGGTGTAAGAAGGGTTCAGGAAGCCACGCGGTGAGCAGCGGGGAGACAGTGGTGACGTACTTCTTCTGCGGTGAGGAGATTCCTTATCGGAGGACCATGAAGAGCCACAGTCTGACATTGGGTCACTTCAAAGAGCAGCTCCGCAAGAAGGGCAACTACAGGTGTGTGCAGGCACATTGAAATATACAGATCAGTTTTAAAGTTTTACAGTAGTGATGCAGCTTTAGTGACATAAATACAGTTAACTTTTTATGAACTGGGATTAGTTCATTGGCCTTGATTTAAAACAGTCTTTGTGCTGACTTGTAGACAAAGTTTACAGTGGGATCATTTGATTTCTAAGGTGTGGGAGTATCTTCATGTCCAACATTACTGAGGGCATTTTAGACACAGTGACCAATCAGAATGATGGAGACATAAACCCTACTACCTTCTGTAGTGGTAAAATTCTGCCTTTGAATGGCGGTCAGCACCTGCAAGCATAAAAACCTGAAATACTGTCTCCGTGACTACGTCAAGGACCGATATCAGCATTTGTTTCCATCGGTGTCTGCACTCAGGCAGGCCTCTGGACAAGTGTGCGTTTGGTGTGAGGGGTGCAGTGAAAAGGAAGGGACAAGAGGAGGGAGGGAGGGTGGTGCATGGGTTAGTGGGAGAGTTTGAACTGGAGCGATTTTTGGGTCCCATCTGGTATTGATTTCCATGCTAAGGCACACTTAATACACATGGCTTTGAAGCCCCAGCCCCTTTCATTTCAACCAACAAAGACTCACACAAATGGCCAGCGTGCAAATTCTTCACTGATGCTATCAGGGCCTCTTTTTTTCCTGCTCTGGGGTCTTGTGTGCGTGCGTGCGTGTACCCGCGCGCGCATTAATGTGCTTTGCGTTGAACGCGCACAGTGTTTACACATGTTGTAATCATTTTATGGATATTTTTGAAAGGCATACAGTTAAATGCCAGATCCGCTTGTTTGCTCTGCTACGGGGCCTTCACCGAGGCCGCTCGGCCTCGACGTGTGTTTTTGGAGAGAGATTTAATTTGATTGTTTCTTTCCAGTGGGCATTAAAGGGGGAAAAAGATCAAACATTTACTGTTTAGACTGCCACGGTCTCCAAGATAAGCACGGCCCAAGTATTGTGTTAATAATTACAGGTATCAAACTGGTGATGGGGGTAGAGAAGAAAAAGCAAAAGAACTTAGCAAAACCTCTTCCTGTCCAGATGTCCACAACATTTTCAGATCAACAAACGTGACAAGCACTTAGCGCTGAGTTCTCCACATCTGTCTGTTTGCCCCCACCCTTCCTTACACCCCTTACTTACTCTTCTTTTCTCTCTGGCTCACAGTCTCAGTTCTTCTGTCATACCATCCACATTTTTTGGAAAGAGAGCTGCACGGCGCTTTAATAGCAGCCAGAGAATGTGTGGAGTTGGGTCATTTCAACATGGCAGCGGTTCAACAAAGAACAGTACTGCTCGGTCCTGCCAGACGATATTGGTGCCAGATGTCAGTGCAAACGGAGGGAGAAGGGGAGGGGAGGCAGATCCAGCCACATAAAACATGTTCCAGTGGAAATTCAGGCTCTCTGTGTCTCTGTCTGTCTCTCTTAGCAAGAAAAAAAAAAGAGGGCGATCATAGCTCTTTGAAGATTTTGGGGGGTTTTTTAAAAGTAGGAGGGCTCGACTTTTCTTTCTTCCTCTCCAAGGAGGGAACAGTTATCAGGCGTGTCCTTCGCTCTTTGATTTCATCTGATCGGCGCGCTTTTTCCTAAAAGGAGGTCGCTTTATTTCACACCCTGTGTCGTTGCCCTTTATTAGTGATTACCCTCGTGTTAATTAGCACACGTGCACGCTTGTGCACCTCTGCAATGCTGCAGTTCTGGTTTTATAAGTGTTGCATGTCTTAAAAACAAAGAACAACCACAAAAAATGCTCGCAAACATGCCCGCATTCCAGTCACCACACACCGAGCAGATCGAGGAATTTTTCCATTACATAGTTAATGAGTGAATTTCGAGTCCCGGTTAACCAACCCACCCCTGCTGATTTCTCTTCCTCTAAAATAAGGACTGGGGGGGGGGGGTTACATCATTATGGCCCAGTGAAGTCATGGCTGACGAGAAGCCCCTCCTGAGTTTGCTTCTTCTGCACACATACACAAAAGTCGGCTGCCCTTCCTATAGGTCTCAGTAAGCGCTCACACTGTCAACACGGGCGAGGAAGGACACACGGCATACTGCTTGCTCGTTCTCCTCCTCCTCCTCCCCCTCTACTTTGTCTCTTTTCTTTGTCCCTGTAATAATGAACCGGGGATGAGGAGTGAGTGAAAGCCCTGTGCACGAGCGGGTGTGTAGGAGTCAGGGGTAATGACAGGCAGACTTGCAGGCACCCAAAATTTCAGCCTTTGTCAAAGGACCCCTTCATTTGCACACGGGTCTAATTGGCCCCTGTTAGCCAGGGCAAAACTCACAGCAACACAGGGGGGGAGAGAGAGAAGGAACGGGAGAAAAAGTAAAAGAGAACAAGTGGAGGGAGGGATGTGGAGAGAGGAAGCCTGCTGTTTAAAACCAAGTCTTGTCAGCAGCAGGTTCCACCCTGCCCTGGTATCAGCAGGCTTGGCTGATTGTGTACTCAGTGGCTCGGCTGCAGATAGCGGAAATGAAACTTTATGTTTAAAAGGGGAGCGTTAGACTTATCAGGCTTTCTTTTTCTTTCTTATTTTTCTTTGGACTTTTTGTTTATGAGCTTTAAAGTATCTTGAATCAAAGGGAGAAGTATTTTGTGTTAACGCTTTCGTCTCTCGGTCACAGGTACTACTTCAAGAAGGCCAGCGACGAGTTCGAGTGCGGTGCCGTGTTCGAGGAGGTGTCCGACGACTGCTCCCTGCTCCCCACCTACGAGGGGAAGATCTTGGGAAAGGTGGAGAGGATGGAGTGAGCGCTGCCGGAGTTGATCAATAACTCTGCGGATGAGCCTCCTTCATGTGCTCTCACACATGTACGCAGCGTGTGTGTGTGTGTGTTTTTTAAGCTAAGACTTGAAGGACTGGAGATGTTGTTGAAGGAACGCTGGTTTTTGGGCATGCGGACTGGAAGCGGGACAAGATCTCCACATTACCGGACTATCAAGTGAAAAGCTCATCTAGAAGTGAAGAAAACGTGGACTTTATGCTGCTGGGCTCAAAACTTCCCAGAAGAGGAATATCTAGAGACTCTAGGTGAATGACCACTTGTCAAAGAAGCAGGGCGCTGTGGGTTTAATTTGAAACTGAGAGCCTACTTGAACCCTCCCCGTGCCCGTGTCTGCCTATAGTTGCTCACTAGCGCATTACTAATATGTATACGCAGATATACATGTACATTGCATTGTATTGTGATGCTCGTATTGCTGTGTAAAGATTTCTATAGCTATTTATTGGAAATACCCCTTTCCCAAATCCTATCCATTTTCTACTTCCATGGACAAGCTGCTTGGAGTTGGACAAACTTCTCGAATTATCCACATCTGTGAACGCCCCACCCTACTCCACCCAACCCTCTCCTTCTGAGCATCAGTTCTCAAGCAAAGGTTTTTATTCCTTTTCAGCCCCTCATATTGAACTGTAAACATCAACAATACCTCTTCAAGAACTCCACTCCCACTCCGGGACATCTCCGCTCTCCTGGCCGGAGAGCTTACTGCTGAAGCTTTGAGAATGGCTCTCTTATCACTTAAAAGTTCGATAATATATTTACTACTGCAGTGCTATTTGTGGATGTGTCCCCGTCTGCTCTTAGGGGTGGGGGGGTCTTCAGTGTGCTATGGAATTTAAAACAAAAAAAGAAAAAAATGCTATTAATGTTTAATTCCATACTCTGGGACTGTGCCCAGCTAGCCTTGATCTGTCACGTCTTAGTGCCTTTGTTTCAGCGGCGCAGGCATCGCACAAATAGCCTATATATTTACGAGGAGGAAACTGCCCTGAACAGGTCTTTGAGTCCCCAAAATGTGTTTACACCATATTCATATTTACCAAGAAAAAGTTCTATAATGTGTTCCCCTATGTGCTTACCTGTTAGTGAGTGAGTGTGTGTGTGTGCGTGACTGAGAGTATTTTAAGCCTGCACTATGAGCTGCAGATGCTAATGATGGTGGTGATATATATCTATATATATATATATATATATATACACTATGTTCATAGTGTCTTTATTTGAGTACAGTAGCTGTGCCTACATGGATTCTTGCCATGTTTTTCACCCAGTTTTCAGGGTCCTGTTACTCCCTTGGTTTTTACAAGGGGCCTTATGTTGAAAAGATATTTTTATGCCTTTTAGTATCATCATGTTTATGTTTTATGGTATTTTTCATGGCTTCCTTGGTTCTTCTTGTAAACTGTAAATTATGCGTTCTATAGAGCTCAGTTGAAAAGATGCCTCGGTACTTTAATTATTGTAATTATGAAGAGATGTAGCCTTTAATAAAATGTTCTATTTTTCAAATTAGCAAATTGCTTCCTCTTGTTTCTGTGTGTGTGTGAGTGTGTGAGGGAAAGAGAGTTTTGATTGGACTTTGCTAGCTCTAATTGGGATATTAGGATGGTGGCGCGTCTGTGTGTGCTTGTGTTTAGAAGCAGCTTCACCACACACACACACCCCTGCTGCGCAGAGTAAAACTCATTGGATCCAGTGAGAAATTTGCATCCATTATCAGCTCTTAATGTACTCCCTGTTGGAAATGAAAACATGCAGCATTAATTTGGCCACTAGAGCCTCCGTGTGTTTTAGGGGAAGAAGCAGACAGAGACCGGGAGAGCTAAGTGTGTGTTAATGAGACATTTGGCAAATATATGTTATAAGTACATTTTAGCCAGTTATTTACATGGTAAAATCTTTGGCCTCCTGTGGCACTTTATGAACTGCGTGTGAGGGTATAACGTGCACTTTTGCTCAGTCCCAATTAGGGCAAAGGGATGAGAACTCTCAAACATAATGCTGTTTGACATTAACAGAGAATCCCAAGATCGTCTGATGGGCTACATCAACTTTGTGTCTCTGAACTGAACGGTAAAAAATAATCTTATTTACTGGAAAAAGGTATGTTTGGTTAAGTGAGTCCAGGAGACGGGACACGTGATGTCCGCTCGCTCGCTGTGGATTCAGCGGCACGATCAGATATTATATGGACTTTGCACTGCAGCGGTGGGGCATTAAAGACTGCAAAGAGTGGGATATGACTGTGCCGTGCACGTGTCAAACCTTTTTTCCCCTGATAGATTCTCATAACCTGGTTTTACGCCCCCGTGATTTCCCGTCTAACTCCAGACTACTGTGCATATGCAGTGTTTTTAAGAAGTTTTTCAGCACCATCATTTTCTAAACAATTAGCAACTATGGGTGAACACAGTTGATGCAAAAGTGAGTAGGAGTGGTGAAGCTAATTCAGCATATGTGTGTGGGTTGTTTTTTTTACATTAAAAATGAGGTAAACACAGGTGTTGCTAATGACATTAATGAAGGTTTTGTTTAATATAGCCTTAATCTAAGTGATTAGTACCACCTGTGTTTACTGTTTCACGTGAAAGAGGTCTGTCGGAGGCTCTGGCTACATGCAGTCATGGTAAAAAAAAAGAAAGTATTCTTATTTCAGTTTGAAGGTTTTAGGTATGAGGACATACAAATTCTCAGGAAGTTTTAAAATGAGGTAAATACAGCTTCAAATGACATTACTTGCTACATCGTGTCATTATTTGTTTAACAATAACTAAGCTAAATGGCAATTCAGTAGCTTGTACAACCACCATTAGCGACTATAACTTGGAGTAGTCTCTCACATTGTTGTGGAGGGATTTTTGACCACTCTTCTTTACAGTGTTGCTTCAGTTCATCGAGGTTTGAAGACATTCGTTTACACGCAGCTCTCTGAAGGTCCCACCAAAGCATTGCAGTCAGGCTTGAGGTGTATGCTTTGACGGGTTCATTTCAACACCTTAATTCTTTTCTTTTTCAGACATTCTGTTGTAGGATTGCTGCTGTGCTTGGGATCATTGTTGCATCACCAAATTTCTGCCAATCTGTTGCTGTCTGAAGGCCTCACACAGAAAGATCCCAGCCAGATGGTAGATTCAAACTCAGGACTCAAACACAACTCTTCATGCTGTGAGGCACGCTGCCCCATATTTGTTTAGCCTTTTTCTAATTGTTCTGTCTTTAACTTTAATGTTTAACATGCTAACTGAGGCCTGTGGAGTCTGAGATGGAGCCCTTTCTCTGAGCATTTCACGACTTTACTTGGACGTCCATCCCTGGGAAGACTGGCAGCTGTAAATGATCTTCTGCTTAGACCGATGGGCAGCAATTGCCTCTCTAAGAGCAATGCCGATGACAGTTAAGTGTGCGTTAACACCAGACCACCAGACTTAGCTGCACACACTTGCTGATGATCAATTAATCAATAAAGTGCATTTGATTTCCTTCTACCATGACTGTGTGCAATACTTGTTAGAAACTCCTTTTCAGATTTTTCATTGCACGTATGGGACATATTAAATTAACACTGTCCATCTTTTGCAAAACTGTTCCTCAGTGCGCATCAGGTGAAACCTCCGGCTGCGTATGGTGATGTAATTAACTCAAACTAGCGTGCAGGCAGCATTTAAATAGCTAACATCTTATGCTATAGCCTCACCTGCACACCGATGCCCCCCGATGCTATTTTACCCGTCACGTCCTTCTGTCACACTCGCGTCCTTCAAGTTTCATTGCTTAAGAGTGTTGCTTATGCTGCCTTTCATATTGAAAGGGCATCATGATATTGTTAAAATACCATTTTCAGCCCTTTCATCAGCAAAGGTCAGTGCATACACTTGAAGGGCATCTTTTAGAATCTTTAGAACTAAGAGGCCCTCACAGAGCGGCGCTCCACTGTCAGAAGGCCTTGTGAACCCACCTTTGTATGGGGAGCTATTTTAGATGGGGTCATCTTTTTGAAGGATTCATGGGGTTGGGAAGACTCTAGACTGCTATTCATGAATGTAGGAAGGCTTTTTAAACATGAGTGAGTGATGCATTTTGGGGTTGTTTTTTTTCACCGTCAGCTTTTATATCTCTTTTAGCTTATCATCAATTAGTGCCATAGAAATCCTGAAACCAAGCAGTGATCCTTTGTGCTGGTTCAGAGTTATTGGCATTAAAGATTGTGCGTTCATGTGTTGTGGCTAAAATGGGTTTCTAATGGGAGAATGCACATAAACACTACTTCAAGTCTGAACAACAGCTTAGAGAGTTTAGAAAGCCTCGCTTGGTCTGTTCATATCCATGATGGAGAAAAGTGTACTTTTTCTCTTTCTAATCTAATTTCTAATGTTTTAAAAGGACAAGAAAAACACTGCAGCTGAAAGACCAGGGCCCTGTGCTTCGTACGTCGCTCACTACATCCAAGATCAAATGAAACATCCAAGACCAAACCATCGCGCTAACCGTGAGCGCGCTAATCCGGTTCCCCGAACACACCTGCTGTTGACGATTAGTACAGCTGGACGCAGTAATGTGACATCACTGGGTGTCGTAAAAGGGGCTACGCATCGATAGTAGAAACATTGATCGGCAACCCTCTGATTGGTCGGCGAAAATGTCGACGGAGCGCGCTCGGCTCGGTATTTTTCGGCAGCAGAGCAAGAACTCTTGAGTGAGGGATTTCAGGAGTTTCAGAGTTTAATTAAAACGCAAGGGAACACTGCAAAGGCTGCAAAAGCAAGGAGAGAGGGCTGGCAGAAAGTTGCTGACAAATTAAACTCGTAAGTAATTTAATAAGAACAATAATAATGGAGTGGATTGATATAGCGCTTTTCAAGGCACCCAAAGCGCTTTACAATGCCACTATTCAGTCACTCTCACATTCACACACTGGTGGAGGCAGCTACGGTTGTAGCCACAGCTGCCCTGGGGCAGACTGACAGAAGCCAGGCTGCCATATCGCGCCATCGGCCCCTCTGGCCAACACCAGTAGGCGGTAGGGTAGATTTATTATATTACACTATATTATCCAATATTATATTACATTATATTATAATATGTTATATTATATCCCCTTTCACATTAGAGCCACAACAGGACCCACTAGAACATGGGAACAGGTAAAAGTGAAATATAGGAATATTCTACAGAATGGTAATATTTATCACTTATATTGCTTTTAGTCTCTTGGAAAGAGACCCTGAAATAATCTGTTTGTTTATAACAGCAACCAAGAAAAGGGCAGAGCAAAAAAAGACAGGTGGTGGTCCTGCACCCCCTCGTCAACAAGTTGGTTAAGTAAATAATACCCTCACGGGAAAATCGATATCTCTCTATGAGCACACTGTCGCGCTGAGCTAAAGGATCCTGTCTGTCCCGCAATATACGCTGAATTCTGAAAACTCTCCTTATCAATCTTGCACCTTCCGCAGGACATGGCTGCGACAGGCTTCCCAAATCCACCTTCGCTTTTATAGCCGTGGTCTCTCATCTTGATTACACGAAGTAATTTGCAATTACTACTCTGAAATATGAATTACATCTGTAATAATCACATACATGTAATAGTATGTTAATAGTACATTTCCCTTTTTTAGGAAATGACCTGTATGTATCTGTGTGACATCAATAAATGGATCAGGTGCTGCATTGTCTTTAGTTACATTGATGTTATTTATTTATGGTGAAACAGTGGTGGAATATCGCTGTTGCTTTCGTATAAATGACGCGGGCATACCTGCGTGGCCGCGATCTAATCCTGTTTACATAAAGTAAACCTGCTCCCCAGCAGGTTTACGCTTACGGCTCTGTTGCTATGACAGCAAGTCCCGGATGGGCTTCGGGGAACCGAACGATCCAGGATCACGCGAAATCGTCAACAATCTAATCCAGCTAACTTACTTAGCGAGGTACGAAGAACGGGCCCCAGGAAAGGAAGGATTCAGGAAATGTGACCATCTGAGGAGGACAGGAATGCACAATGAGGGATGGGCACAACGCACGGGCACGTAGCGTATCACAGGGGATGCCACATCTGTGATGCCTCACAACATCCCGGCTGAAAAACTAGCATATTGCGCCCCTTTCTTCCAAGGCTATTGCTCATTTACAGTCTCATCTTTGGTAGGTTACCCCCTGATACATCCTTCCTAATGACAGGTTGACTGGTTGGTGCCCAGCGTTTAGTCTGCTTTACAGGGAAAAATTTATGGCTGTAAAACCACATTTGACGCAGTGATCATCCTGCTAGCCATGCTGTGTCATGTGATAGTTGACAGGAAAATGCATGCATGTGAGCATGTGTGAGAAAGGTGCTAGATCTAATTTCCCAAATAAATTTGCATGTAATCAAATCACAGTGAACCCGGCAGGATCGAGACCATTGGCCCGTTTCTCACAAAAACATTCAAAGTGTGTTTGCCGATTAAAAAAAGAAGGCAAACAAAAGTTCATGGAATTGAGAACAAAAGCAAGAACTTTTACACTTTAATCTGTTTTCTGTCCAGTTCTACATTTATCCACTGATATCTTTCTGTTGGATCTTATGCAGTAAGTACTGGCACATACTTGGGTGCACAATTCAAAGTAAGCAGCTGTGAACTTTAATCAACTGGCACGACTTTGAGTTAATCTGCCACCTCAGCCTCCCCCTCACATCTCTGCCTGCTATTGTTTCACCAGTTCATATCCAAATTCTGCTACCTGTCCCGCCCACACAATGTGAGATCAAAGGCTTCTGACTTGGAACAATGGCAAACAGGAACCTAAACAGGATGTGGAACCAAAATCTCACAGAGGCACGCTGAATGGCAAATGCGAGCCGTTGGCGTTTGTGTGCGGCCGTTACAAAGCCCATTTTCAAAAATGGATTGTTAGTGAAGAAAAGGTGTGACCTTGATCCCATCCCCCCTTTGGAGTAAAGCCATTTCAAAGCAGTGGTAATGCACTTGCCACATCCCCTTCCTGAGCCTTAAATGTTTTGGATTTTACGGCGAAATGGCACGGCAGTGTACATTAAAGCACACGATAAGTTGATCCAGAGTTAGAAACACAAACCTAAAGAACAGCTGAGTTGCTCGCTTTCTGTCACCGCAAACCTCTTTTTTTAAAAAAACGACAAAAAAACCCTTCAGTCGTTTCACCATAGACTTGTAAAAGAGAACGAGACCCCCAATTTTCCATCCAGGTTTAACAAACCCCATCATTTAACCTGCATCAGCAACTGCAGTCGCAACCATCAACCCAGACAACCAGTGACTGTGGTCAATCAGCGGCCCACGTCTGGATCCTGAGTAGACGCCACTGTGGAAACTGATCCCTTCACCGTTTAACCAATCAAGTGACCTTACACCACTTTATACTAACGATGTCATGTTTAGACAACGGCTGCTTGGCCACGGTGAGCTGGACGGTACCCATAAGAGAGGAATTAACAGAGTTATCACTGTAAGGCATAAACTGGATCTGCATTGTCATTGCGGGCTTATAAACATTCTCTCGGAAGGCTTGAGAGGAGTAGCTGCTCTTTTATCCAACGGTACAGACGTTGTATTTTCCTCACCAATCAAACAGCAAGAAACTGAAGAGATTATGTATCTCACTGTGCTTTGGGGAATAAAGAAGACAGGGGCATGACACTGAAAGCCAGAAACCCAATCTGCTGCCGCTGCGGTGAAGCAGCGCCCGGATGCTATGCTGCCAAAGGGCACTGAGGACATGAGGCGTGATAGCCGGCCGGGCCGCGTTGGGGAATTTTGCGTGCATCCTCCCCACAACTGAAGGGAAGGCATCTTTTGTAAAGAGAGGGAGCGCCTTTGTCCTCCTTTGGTGTTTACGTTTGTCTTAAATTTCACCTAGTGCACAGCGCGGCCCCACCAAGCCACAGGATAGGCATTGTTCTGGGCCCCGTGCAGGAATGGTAGCCTGCAGTCACCTTCTTTCTGACTGTCGCCATTGTCCCACCACCAACCCCCCCAAACCTCTTTGTTTTTGCTCCCTGCCTCAGACAGCTCAGATTGTTGCCTGATGTTGCTTCCTCTCTTCCCATTGTTTCCATGTCTCCTCTAATGTATGACTTTTCTTCTCCTTCTAGGTCGATGTGTGTGTCGATTGGTTGGGTGGTTGGAGGGGATGAGAGTGTGGGGTGTGGAGGGGGCTGCAGTACACAGAGTGCATGTGAAGTTTTATGGTTAACCACATGTGTTTTTGAATCTTTGAGCTTCCACTTTTTTTTTTCTTTTTTTTTTTCCCAGGGTAAGGAGTCGGGGGAAGTATATAGCACGAGGATGGGGTGGAGAGAGGGAAGTCGAGCAGGGGAGAGAAATTATTAAAGAACCAGAAATCAGACATGTGGTTCTTGTTTGGGGTGCTACATGCAGAGATGGTGGGTCTGGCTTCTCTTTGCTCCAACCTGCATGTGTAATCTAAACAGCCCACTGATTATTAAACAATATGGATGCCTCTC